CACTTACATATTCGGTTAAGAATTTTTTTTTTGTTTAAACAAAATTACTTTGTTACAATATAATATTCTAATACCAAAAAAAGTACTTACGTATCGTGAAAATATCTTTCGTGATGTAACTCTTTCAAAAGTAGATAAAAATGGTTGCCAGCACGGGTGTACATGTAGATTTGTTAAATACACCTTGTGCGCCACCTAGGAACCAAATCTAGAACCCGACACTCGAAATTTTTGCTCTGTTACAATCGTACCCTGTTACAATTGACCCCACTCTCCCCTACTAGCGATAAAAACGATGAAATCGTCATATTAAAAGTAAATAATTAAATGAGTGATTTCAGATTGGCGTTTAATAAAATTGTTTAAAAAAAGTGTTTGATTTCGTTTTTCTTCTTCTTCTAAATACGAAAATTAGTAGTAATAACTGTCGGAATATCGATTGAAGCAATTAACGAGGATATCGGAGTATGATTTCTTGAATGCGCCATTTGAGTTTCGCGTGCCATGATAATATCTGTATTTTTTAAAAATTCGCGAGAATATCAATAATAATTGAGTGATTAACACTAGATTGCCTAAGGAAGTCATTTTGACTGCTTTTAATTTCAATTAGAAAAACAATGATGCATATAATGACACAATTTCTTAGAATTTTGTGACTTTTTGTACGACATATAATTTTTTTTATTGTTAATATTTACAAATAACTTGTTATATAACTGTAAATATTATAAAAAATGCTAAAAATTAATTCTAAACAAATTTATTTGCGCATTCACAAACCAGTCATTTTGACTGCTTTTAGGCAATATAGGTATATACTAATTTTCCGTCTTTCTAGTGTTAAAGACATCGAGATTTCAAAAAACCAAGTAAAAATTCGCAACAATAATCTTAGAAACAATAATCAAATCCTTAACAAAAGTTATCAAAACACCAGTTAATCCAGTTGGGCTGGAGGAAACTTATTTTTTCCACTGTGGAAGAAACTGATGCCTTGGTAGTCACATAAATATCCGAATCAATAAACTTTTTCTAGGGGCAGATACACCTTTTTCTGTAGAGCTTATTCCAATAAATTTTAAGGATCATATATTTTTCTAATCTCAAGAATAAAACTATTTCAAAACAATTTTAAAGAACATGGTACACAATTTAATAATTTAATCTAAGGAAAGTTGGTCTATTTTAATTATATATTTATGTTAATTTCAGGTGAAGTGAAGAGAAATGGAAGTCATTAATTTTAGAACCGTTATTGTGCCCGAAGAGAAATATGCCACAGATGATGACATAGCGAAGAAATTTAAGACATATCTCGAACAGCTGACATTTCACTTTGAAGCATGTGGTCTGATGGACGTCAGTCTCAGCTTTTTGAAAGTGAAAAAATCTGAAGAAGAAGATACCCCAGAAATAGAAGAACTTATCATTCAAGTTTCTGCCAAGTGTTTGCTAAGAGACCAAAATTGGGTGCACTACTGTCGACAGTTGCGCAGTGAATGGAAGAACTTATTTTATCCAAACCCCACCCCAATTTTGGCTTTTTATGAAAGCAAATCTTTCAGCTCCTCACGCAAGCATTCTCACGTATACACTGCATACAAGACTATTAGTTTTGGAATTTTACCACATGATGGAGCCTTTCATCAGTACTCCTCACTGGAGTCAGATCAGAGTTTAGACTCTCACCACGTGAATTTTTATCACGATAGTCGGTCTGTTACTATAAAATACGAAGCTTGGGAATTAGTTTTCCCTTACAGTAATATTAAAAATGTATTTGTCAATATCGATTCGAATTCTCATGAAATATTTTTTGATTTGTGCAACCCACCTCTTATTTTTGAAACTGAACAACGTTACAGTAAATATATAGGAAATTATCAAATAAGACACAGATCTGCTACCATTACGACTGGTCCGAGCTGTTGGGTTAGAAGGAGGAATAATAATTATTTGCCTGTCGGCGAAAGGAGAGCATTATTTGACGTTGAAACGCTTGGAAAAGCTACGGTTATGAAACTATCATTTACAAATGCTATCGTCGTTGAAGAGATCGTTAGCAGAATTCATGCCAGGTGCGGTGAAAAACCAATACATTATGCCTACATTGTTACTAAGCAGAAAGAAAAACCTGACATTCCTGACGTCAATTGGAATCATTTCGGATCTACATACATGATAACATCGATTTTTAAAAGAAGTTTTACAGTTCCTTCTCAAACATCCAACATACATACCTCTCTACGTGTTTTAGAAAAATTTTCTTTGCAAAATGGAGATTGTCTCGAAAAAGCATTAACACTCGTCTTATCGACTTTAGAATCAGGGAAGATCATGAACTATTGGCACGCCATTGAGCGACAATATTACTTTTATCTTAATCACAAAGATGAAATGGATTACATGCACTATATCGTGCCCGAGAAGTGCCGATTAATCCGTCGCATAACTGTGACACCCACGCGTCAATTGCTTTGGCCACCTGAAATTATGTTCGGTAATAGAGTTTTGAGAAAATTTGATCCAGAATACGCCATTCGGGTATCATTTAGAGATGACGACAATTCTCGATTAAGTTTCAACGCTGCAAATGCTGAGCCAAATATTTTGGAATACTCGATCCGTAAACCAATGTCTACAGGAATACTCATTGGATCTCGCCACTATGAGTTCCTGGCTTGGTCTAATTCCCAGATTCGTGATCATGGCATATGGACATACGCTAGAGATACTGAAGGTAATACGGTTCAGCATATCCGATCGTGGATGGGAGATTTCTCTCACATTCACTCTGTTCCCAAGTATATGGCGAGAATGGGGCAATGTTNTTTTGTGAAGGGTCCGTTTTTAAGTTAAAATATTTTGTGAAGGGTCCGTTTTTATGAAAGGTTATTTTGTGAAGGGTCCGTTAACGGACCCAAATTTCTTCTAAACAGACCCCTGACTATTAACAGTGTGTAAGTTTTGTTTCTTAGCTAATCCAATTTTAATTATAGCGATCGGAAAAATTTAAAGCATTTTCATTATTCTTGTTGCATATGTCGTTTAGAAGTGGGTTTGTAATAATGTATCTGACATTTTAAAAGTATCTAGTTAAAAGGACTTTATCATGCGGTTAACGCGTTCAATTTCTATCAAATGCTTACCGAAATGAGAAGCTAGCTCTAAGCCTCTTAAATTTGTTTTAAACGGTCAAAGGAAATTAACTTCATATTGTATTTTTAATATGTATGGCTGTAGTAGTATTTTGTTTACATTGCACTAGAGCTGCCACTCTTGCGACAGTTAGGAAAACATTCAAAAGGATAATCCAAAAACATGCTGTCAGAATTTTGATTTCATGTGGGAATGGTTCCCCCGCTTCGGCAGCCCGAAGACCTGTGCACGAAGTCGAGTTCTTAACAAGAACCGATACTGTACATCCTTAATCTCTTCGAAGGTTGATAAAAGTGGTCACCGAGACTCTCAAAGACCAATAGATGTCAGTACCATCAGTGCTTCAGTACAACAAGCGCTCAAATCTCGATGAACTTAATACAGCTCTCACGAGAAGCACGTTAAAAGATCTGGTGAACTTAATACAGCGTTCCCGGTCTTCAGAAAATATCTCTATTAGTGGAATCTGTTTATTGAATTCCTGATAAAATTCAATGAATGACAAATATTTGAAACTGGCGGCTAATCAGATATACACCATTGTTTGTGACGTCACTAAAAGACCTTAGTGATTTCAACGGCCTTATTTCTCGGTGGCTATGGCTTGGCTTACTCATAATAGAATGGAATGAACAGTTGCTAGCGTAAACATATGCTATGACACGTTTCAAAGATAGTCGCAATTTCTCAGGGGATAAGGCGTTCGCCTTCCAACGAGGCGAACCGGGTTCGAATCCCAGGCGATACGAAATCCGCACCCAGCTTGCACTGACCACAGGGCCGACGTGAAATATCCTCAGTGGTAGACGGATCATGGATTAGAGTCCCCTTGCCGTCAGGTTAACTGTGGGAGGTTCTCGTGGTCTTCCTCTCTATGTAACGCAAATGCAGGTTAGCTCCATCAATATGTCCTCCACGAAGGCAAATTTCTCCCAATACTCGATCCAGGAGTTCCCTTGTCTTCTGGATTGAGTTCAAAATTACAAGGCTAAGGAGTTGAACATTAGTAGTCGTAAACTCATAAAATTGGGTCGGCTGTTCAACGACGGTTATAAAATATAAAAACCAATCAGGATCGATGTATCCACGCTACGTCACTTGCAGGTATCGTCACTGCCCATCCAAGTACTTCTGAATAAAAATTAGGAAAAATCTTGCAAACAAATCTCGATGAACTCTTTGTCACACGTAAAATGGAAGTTTTTATTTCTTATGACTCGTCCAAAAAATAGGCCGAAAGATTTCTCCGATTCCCACACTTCGCTAATAGAAAACTTAAAATATTAATTAATTCTAGCATTCTTTAATCTAAATTTCGAATTAAAATGCCAGATATAATAAATAAGTGTGAGAACATGTTTATATTTTGAATAGTAAATTAAGAAAGAGAATTTAGAAAAAGAAATAAATTTTTTTTTTTTTGTGTTATATGTAATTATTATATAAAGAGACAGAGAGAGCTTATTCCATTTCCTTCCCTATAGGTGCGCAATGTTCTGGGCCATGATAAACTCTGCAGTGCATTCCAGATACGGTATGGTGGCTATAAAGGCATGCTGGTAGTAGATCCTACCTTAAAAGATGCGGACATAGTGTTTCGAAAGAGCATGAAAAAATTTGATTCCCCTCAAAATCAAAGATTGGAAATCGCTAAAACAAGTGCTCCAAGTAATGTTATTCAGTTATTTTTCAACTTTTATCTGCATCGATTTTTGTTTCGTAATATTTGCATTCTATTCTACTTTTCTACTCCATCTAATTTAAGTTAAGGGAGATAAGTTTACCGTGAGAAACTAGCTATAGAAGTTTAGTTGCAACCAAATATTTTTTTAAGACTATTGCTTAGAGTTAAGATTTATCTTTAAACATTGATGATCAGGCAAATCGTCCCTAAATGAAACGGATGATTTTGTATTCCTTAGACAGGGGTCTGTTTAGAAAAAACGGACCTTTCACAAAATAATTTATCTTTTAATCGGACCCTTCACGAATTTGTTTATCTTCATTATTGTTTTGTTAATCGAATAAACCCTTCCCAGGAAGGGGGGGGGGAGAAAGACAAATGTAAATGAACTAAATTTTGTCTTCGGCAGACGCTTCTTCCTTTATTCGTCCAAAATTAATTTTCCGCGTTCAGCAGTATAGGCTAAATACCAAATATTTGTATGTTGCATCGCTAATTTAGTAACTGAAATTGCTGTTTATTTTTTAAAATTTAATTTTTTTAATTATAATTTTACAGTGTTGAGCATAGTCTTGTATGTCTTTACAATTTAAAAACTCCTTGAAAAAGTTTTTTTTCAATAATGAACCCTATTTGCACAAATTCACAAAAGCGGACCCTGGTTGAAAGAATGTGACTTAACGTTTATTTTATATTCACAAATTACGAGTAATTTTTTCACAATTTTACAAAAACGGACCTTTCACAAAATGTCTGGACAGACCCCTGTTAGATTGGCTGCAGTACGATGTAACTTAGATTCGATTCTAAAGTGGTAACTTGACGTTTTCTCTAGACGATTCTCAAATAATTATTAGAGCACCGATGGTCACTGTAAACTTTATATGACCACCAATGACTACCCTATAAATATTTTGGTGCAAGGCAAGTTCTTCATTGCATCAAATTATAGTGTTACATCTTTTGATTTGTGTTGTTTAGTTTCTAAAAATTATTCAATGTGAGTATACGTCCTTGATACCATCCAAAATACCATTCAAAGGATCACGTGGACGTAAAAAACGGTTTTTGGTGCGAAATATTATATTGACATACATTTTTTAGCTTTCTGCGACAAACCTTTCTGGCCTTAATATCTTTCTGCAAGACACTTTTAATAATAACACATATATGTGCTACTAACTAAATTTAAATTAACTGAAATGGTGTGTTAACAAAAAAAACCTGTTTGTATAAAATTAAATTGGATATATTTTTTATATGAATATGTAATATTCGATGTTCTCACATTTTGTAAAAGGAAAACACACTAATTATTTCCTTTTTTTTGCCATTTCGTAAATCATCATCACATCAATAATAATAATTAAAAATCGCAAAATCCGTAGCAGTATCTACCGAAAAAATATCGACGGCGAAATCACGCGAATTGGATTCTTCATTTCAAAATTTTCATGTACTTAATTTTTAAAAAAAATACTGGATAGATTTTATTTCAACTAAATCTAAAAAAAAATAAAAAAAAAAATAAGACATTCTTTTGTTATAAATTTGAATTTGTAACAAAATTCCCATTCACAGCCAAATTTTATTGAAATGTAAAATATGGTCTTCTTGAAAAAATATATATGTGAATGAAAGAAAAGGGTTTCTGAACGAAACTGTCTTTTTAACTTTCGCGATTTCGTTTTTTTCCCTACATTTTTTAATTAAAATTCTAGCGTAAACTAGTCATTATTGAATTTTATTTATTCTTAAATAAGCATTTACAAGCATTTTCTTCCTCTCTGATGCTTAAAAAAAGGCATCTTTTGAAAATAAATATGAAGAAAAAATCCTTCAAACATTTCTGCAGAAACGAAATTTTTTACTTCATTATTTAGTATTTTTCATTCTTTTCTAATAAGGATAGAAAAATCATGAACATTTCTTTCCTCTCTGATGCGCGAAAAAGGCATTTAAGTATAATTTTAGAGAAATATTATCTTAAAAATTTCTGCAGAAAAGAAAACCAAAATCTTTTACTTTCTAAATGAAATTTCTTTTTGCTGTAACGTTCTTCGACAATGTCGCTGTGTCACCTATATTTTGTCACGGTCCGCTGCAATGGTGTAAAAAGAAATATTTCTAAAATGCCGTCGTAAGAAATTATGAAATTTATTGGTCCACAAAAATACATTTTAGTTGAAATTTTAATTTTTGATTCAACTACTCTCCTCCCTAAGTTAATTATAAAAAAAAAAACTGATTATCATTCTTTATTATAAGAATCTGTAATTGAAAGCATATATAAAAACATTTTTTACTACCATGCATAATATAGCTGATGTTTTATTTTTTGTTTGCTGCTTAAATGGAGTTATTTTATTTTGAAATTTTTCATTACATTCTCATCCTGCTGTTATTTTGTATAAATGTTTTGCATAAGATTTCGAGGTGTGTCCAGCGAATAACTGTCTGATTTCAGTAACTTGGAAGCAAAGGTATGATTATTGTGAATGCTGTAAAACTTTATACAGAAAATTTGGATTTTAGTTTTACATCAGATGCAGTGACGCGCCATTGAAATTCTCTGTCTGCCAGTTGCCTTTGCACCTGTTTGTCGGCCTCTCTGATTGACACTTACGATTTCGTCATTTTTTCGGTTTTAGTTTTATCTTGGTTCTTCTCTGACCTCACCAAAAATAAAAATCTGGTGGTAAATTTTAAGTTGTTCAAAAATAAGCTTGCGAAGAACTTCAAATTTGTGGTAAAAATAAGCCAGTATAAATACACTGTGAAGAACGCATTCACAATGGCTTATATCCGTCTTTGAACAACCGCCCCAATTTTTGGGTTTACGACTGCTAATGTTCAACTCCGTTGTCTTGTAAATTTTGAACTAATCCAGAAGGCAAGGACACTCCTGGATCAGAACCCCCAGAGGTATTGATTTGTTATGGGAACACTTAGGGAACATTAGTTATGGGAACTTGATTTGTTATGGGAGGATTTAGCGACTCGACAAAATTTATCGTGCATCAGTCACCATTTACTACACGGGAAGTCTTCGGCCGGCGGGGATCGAACCCACGAACTCTAGGACATGCGCCCAGTGCCCTACCAACCAAGTTATACTGGCCTCACGCCATGGCTGTCTTGGAAGAACATTAAATTCTATTTTTACCTTTTACTTTGCCCTCTGGCTGGAGCTATGCCTCTTCGACGCGGTAGAAGAAGCACCCTTTACCTATGAGTCCGCCATTCACCTTGTGTAAGAATGGAGTGCTCTATAGGGATATTTCATCGAATATTCTTTGAAGTTAAGCTCTCTCTTGCTCCTTAGATGAATTCGCTATTGGTGCAGTGTAGGAATGGAGTGCCCTACCTATCGTTTTTTTTATCGAACAAGTGAAGAAGCTCCCTTGCTCTTTTCGATGAGTTTGCAATCCATCTTGATACATCTGCTGGCAAGCGCAAAAGATGCAGTCTCTTCCCTATCAACAGCTGTTCGTTTTTTTTAATTTTTTATTTTTATCTCGCGACCTTACTGTGATTCGATCACTCATGGATCGGATCACGTAAAAAAATGTAGAGACGAAAAACAGGTTTTGAGAAAATAATATCAGTAAATTACCATTTCGATCAACATGATCAAGACTTTACTTTTTGTATGTATCTAATAATCAGTTGGAAAAAAATAAATTTTTATTTTTACTCTTTCCTTTTTTTTGAAAACATAAATAGTCTTAATTCAAAATATTTATTTTTGACCCACTCAAAATGTCGTAAGATAATAAATCTGAAATTTTTAATAATTAAACTTTTCTTTTAAATTGTAAATTATCCGCAATTGAAATTTAAATAATAATTAACTATTTCTTTCTTTTTTTTAAATTATGGCACAGATGGCAGCCATATACGACCACAGTTCTAGCATTAAAACGTGAAAGGAGGTTTATCGTACAGGATAAGGTCTAAGTTGTGTATTCTAATAAATAACGTGTGTCACAGGTTGGATTTAAATTTTGCGGCATATGCATTATTTTCAAGAATTCATACAGCGTCATCTGTTGGCAACTGTTGTAATTAAATTCTAACACTTTTGCCTAAAATATTTCCAACTTTCATAATACACATACCGTTTGTTTCTAATATATTTAATTTTGAAATCAGTCGATATTTGTTTGGACACCTTGTATTCTCTTCAGAATGTTCGATAATATTGAATTGAAAATTTATAATGACTTTATAATTGTTACCGTGAATTACCGAAATCTTAGAGAATATCGAATTTCACCGGTGAATGTCAACAATCACATAGTCGCTTTGGTGAATGACCGAAATTTGTTATATCCGATTTGATATTAATTTTTTCGTTGATATTATTATATTCATTCGATATTTTAATATCTGCTGAGGATAGATTAGATGAACATTAGTGTTCGGAGTAACGGTTAAATACGTACTGGCCATGGTACTTGACCTTAAAAAAGCATTGATCTAGGACATATCGGACAGTGGCACTTAACCAGACTTATTATATATTTCAGACATTTACCAAAGCGATAATGTGATTGTCAACTTTCACCGATGGAAGTCAACAACCACCCATTTCTTAACACATATATATTATATTTCAGTCAGCCTCCAGTTGAATAGACCATTCATTACTCTGCTGAATGACTTGGGAGTGCGTCACAGGACATTTTTGAGACTGCAAGAAAGTATGCTCCGCAATTTGACTGACATGCTCTTCGAAGAGGAACAAGCTGCCGCATTTTTGGCTTCCAAAACACCCTCGGAGATTTTTAAGTACAAAGAAATATCTAAATCTGGAATTTTTCTTACGACAGAACCTTTCTTTAGGTCGCTGTTGCTCGCTCTTCATCGTCATCACGTTGGTAAGAATTTTATATCATTTATTAATTTAATTTTCTCATTCATTCAGGAGTAGTTAATTTCTATTATCAAAATAATCAGGTGAATTCAGATGACGTATAAACATGTATCGTTGATTTAAAAAAGCTTGATCTAAATCACAATTAAAATCATAATTTTATTTTATTTTATATTTTTTTAAAAATTCATTTATTTAAATTAAACATTGATTTAAGAATTTACAAAACATTTCATTAATTCAAAAAAAAAGGTGTTTTCTTTTTGTTTTGTTTTTGATAAATATTTTTAGTTGAGTTGTGTTAAAAATATAGAGAAAACATGGAAAATAATAAAGATAAATGAATAGAGAAGAAGAAAAATTATTAAAAAAAAATAATAATAATTATTTCAAAAAATATATTTTACAAAAGCTAGAAAACAAAATGATGAAAAGATGTAATCTCTTCATCNATGTGTTAAAAATATAGAGAAAACATGGAAAATAATAAAGATGAATGAATAGAGAAGAAGAAAAATTATTTAAAAAAAATAATAATAATTATTTCAAAAAATATATTTTGCAAAAGCTAGAAAACAAAATGATGAAAAGATGTAATCTCTTCATCAGGTCATGTGATTATATCAGCAAAGAGGAGTGCTTTCTAATATAGTATCAATATAGCCAAAGCAAAATATATCAACACAATAGTGTGAGGAGCACTCAAAATTGAACCGAAAATAGAACACATTAAGTAAATGGTATATGCGAAATAAAACATATCAAACAAAAAATAAAATGTAAGGGAAATACAGAACAAAACGAAATCTATAAAGCGAGTAGCGGATTCAAATGAATTTACACATATCGTAATCTTTCAAGAATGATTTAAATAAGATTACCAAATTACAAAATATGACAACAGAAGAAGAAATCGGACTAAAAGCGTAAATAGAGGGATTTTGTTTTATAGCACATTCTTACTGCAGTACTGAAGCGTGTTTGATTTGTTATCTACCAAGGATCGGCCCGAAAATAGATGTGATCAAGGTAATATACTGGATAATTTAAAGAAGTTTATAATTAATAAGATTGATATTTAATTATACAATTTTAATGATTTTAGAAAATTAACATTTATTTTAGAGAAAGAGAGAGAGAGAAAAACATGAATTACCCGTTTTGCAGGAATTTGTCCGAAATGGATTTGCACGTGGTAAAAATATATAAATTAACAAAGAAGTTTTTAGTAAATTTTTTATGATGGCATGCAATTAACTGAATGATTTTAGCCGACCGGCCAGTGTAGGAGTCATAGAACTGGCCTTGCATCAAAAATATTCTGGGTTCGAATCCCGGGCAAGGCATGGATGTTCTTTCAATCTCTGTACTATGTGTCCTTACTGTGGGAGCAACGTTGACCCACTTAATATGGTTTCCCTGAAAGAGTGGGCAACAAATCTGCCCTCGTATGCTTGTATGACCAAGGTCATTCTTCAGGTGGGCATTGAAAAATAAAACTCAGAATTTAGTTACTTTAGTTAGGTATCCGTTTTTTTTAAATCAAATTTTGAAGGAGTTTGTCTATTTGTTTTTTGGATAAATGAACATTACTACATATTCTTTTAATTCTATTCATTTGATTATAAATGGTATTTAAATAGATGTTCTTAGAAACCTTAAAATTCCAAGTAATTAGTTTATTTATATATTAAAATAAACATCATTTCGTTTATCGTATAAATCAACAAAGCAGATATTTTCTTCTTTTATAATACCCAAATCCAAAAAAATTAATATTATCATCATGATTAAGAAGCAAGATAAATTAATTCGCTACTCGCTTTATAAATCTCGTTTTGTGTTTTGTTCCGTTTTTTTATTACATTCTATTTTCTTTCTTTTTTTAACGTGATTTTTGTTAAATACACAAAGGGGCGACCTTTGTGCTAAAATACAAACTAAGGTAAACAACGTTAAAGAGCACAAAAATATTATTAAAAGCAGACAGCTGTTTCGGATGCTCAAAGGGCAACCTTCATCAGTGCAACAGCCTGTTGCACTGATGAAGGAATGATGTAAAAAAATGCTTATTTTATTTCATTTACAGATTTATGAATACTGTTTTTAAAGTTTTTTGATTGATTTAAACCAATCGATTTTGTAATTTTTTATGATAACTAAACTTTTGCACAATTTTTGATAAATGTATTTTATTTATTTAAATACAAACTTAAATTATTCATTGAACCATTTTTTATATTCTGCTTTTTTTAAAACCAACTACGATTTAAAGTTTAGAAAGTTATGCTGTGAAAATATTAAAAAAATATAGTTCATTTTAAAGTATCTTTTTTGTACGGTAGTCAATGATATCCCTCTCTTTATAGAGAATATCAAAAAAAGAGCAAATATTATAATTGATCCCAGCCTTGGACGAAATATGTTGGGGGTACTGGATGAAACAGGATTGCTTCAAGAAGGGGAAGTATTTGTTAAGTATACAAAAGATATTTCAAAAGGTGAAACAACACACGATACAGTCATATTAAGAGGTAAATATGTTTTCATTAACTTTCCATTTTTGAATTTCTACAGAATTAGTACTTCATTTCCGATGCCAATGTTAAAAAAATCATGCTACTCTAAAGAGAAATTTTAAGTTTTTAAAGATATTTTTAGGTCATTTAATTTAAAATGCTGAATTCGTAGCTGTCCTTATTTCCCCGATAAAAATACTTTATTCTTATTTGTCCTGGAATTTAGCTCTTGGTTCTGTAATTTCTTTCTTTTCTGTTTTTTGGTGAGTGTGTGTGCGTGCTTTTTTTTTCAGAGTATCCCAGTTTCTAGAAATATAAATGCCGAATTTTAGTAAACAAATTTGAAAAATCTAAAGATTTAGATTTTTGATCCAACATCTTTTTATTTTATTAACGATTTTTGTAGAAATTGAAAAATTTGTTTAGGGGCTGTTTACTTATTATATACATTGTTCAAACCCTTTTATTATTTCAGTCATTTTATGAAACGGAAACTCGATAAACAATTTAACATTTTCGATGATGAACTCCGAGGTCATATGTTAGTATTTTCAGCAAATGCAATAAAAACTCCTTATATACTGGAAACTTAAAAATTTCTGTTCTAAACAAAATAGTTCTGATGTTAAAATAATATGTTTTATTAGTCTTTAGCAGTAAAATATGGCCTTATTACTGTTATAGAGCAAATTATACTTTAGTATTTTCCTTTTTTAAAAGTAGTTTGGTATATAAAGGGTAGAGTGGGGTAAAACAATGTACTGAGGTGACACCAGACACCATGATTTTTTTTAATAACTGCAGGCACTGAACTTTCGTTCTTCGCCTTAGAAGATGCCAGAATTGTTGCTCATTTATCGTTACCCCGTGGGCAAAGTCACGGAGGCGAGCAACATTACCCACGCCACACTGCCTCAAATACCCGTTCATAGGGTGGGCCACATTCATACATTTACACATCAGAAGACAACACAGAGAGAGAGAGAGAAACATCCATGCCCAGAGTAGGATTCGAACCCGCAGCCATTGGCTTCGCAGTCAGGCACGCTAACCACTCGGCCACCTGGCCGGCTTTAAAAATATGCCAACGGCACGCGGTGTTCCCAGGTGGTCACCCTCCCAAATACTGACCGCGCCCGATGATCCTTGAGTTCGGTGATCGGACGAGAACCGGTATTTTCATCATGGTATGGCCGTTGACCACCTTGATTGTGCCGAGATTAGTTATGTTTCCTAGGAGTCAAGCTCTGAATGGCAATTTACGGCCATGAAGAAGGATTTACCATTTTAGGCGTGATTGTGTTGATTAATTCATGGTGTATGCGTATATTAGTATTTTCTACGTCAAAGTTCTCAAATGTTTTCTTGTTTTTAAGCGATCCTTATTAATTGGACATTACAGTTATAGAAATTATTTTTAGTCCAACTTGATTATACGTTTATTAAAGATTCATACCCTAAAAAACACTAAAATGTCGGCCAACAGTAGTTCTGTTCTGTTTTGTTTCGATAATCTCTGCTTTCTGTGAGAGGGTGGAGATCGGATCAATCACGGTCACCCCTTCCTTTCTATATCTGTCTATGCTGAGCCTACGAAAGCTGCAGAGCTCAAGAGGAATGAGATTGGCTATCGAAAGGGGCTGCAGGTGGCGTAGAACAGAACTCTCTACCTGTATACACTTCGCATGCTTTCACCATTAAATTGTGGATAGTCATAGGAGAAGAAAGTACGTTGGTTTCTGTCTTGATTTTTAAATAGATTAAAAATTTTATAAGTAGGAAATTATTATGGAACTGAAAACTACATTGTACATAGATCTAATAGAAAGCTCCTTGGAAGTTTTAAAAAATATGTTTAACACTTAAAGGCAAAAAATAAATATTAAGAAAGAGGAAAATAACGTAGTACATTCCCATGCAACTGTGAAGAGGTAGAGAGGGAATAAGGGGGAGATCGACAGCCTAAGCTTAACAAAGTTTTACGTGTCTGAGTACAAAATTTATTGAGGGACCCTATTTCAAAGCACAAAACTCATTATTTTCATATTTTGTAGAATTTTTGATGAGCCTTTATACAAAATTGTAAATCTTATATAGATTTAATTACATTCTCTGAATTTTTAAAAAATTATAAACACTATATTTTTTGTAAGAAATTTTATTGGACCTTTAGCAGTTCCTGGTCCCGGTGCTATTATAACAAGGTGCGTAGCTTTTTTAAAAAGTGCTTAAGGTGCTTATTTACGTTTTTTAAAAGCCCTCAAGGGAATGCTTTTTTTTTTATTTGGGGTTTATGAAAAGTGCTTAATTTTCTATCTTTTAAAAATAAATTTTTTCTTCGCTTCGATTGATTACAAAATTATTATAAATAAAAATTCGCTAAATTACAAAACATTCGTGATTTTTACAATTTCCTCTGCAATATTTGTCAGAATTCTAAATTTCTGACCCCTTATTTTGAGCTTCAGAAATCGGAATTCATCTAAAAAAGGTGTCTTTTCGGAGAAAGTACGTTTTTGTGTCCAATATCGTAACCTAAATACTTAATTAGTCTGCAATACTTAATTAAAATATTTGACGTCACCCCTTTAAACCTTTAAGGTTGAGTCCCAGAACGTGAAAATCCGATTATTAGATCAAAAATTATTCAGGGTGGTTCATTTTTTTTTTAATTTTGCTTTCTGTACAGTGCATAAAATAAGAAACGGAACACCGATATTTAATCGAATGATCGGATTTTTGTGCACGAACAAGCAATCTTAATGGTTCGAGGGACAGGCATTATAACCGTCAACGTGCGACGGATATTTTAAGTCCCTAAATCAAACGCAAACGCATTTTCTCTGTAACTTTTTTGAAACGGATTTCCCACCTTTTAAATCTCTAGGGTAGTCATTTATTATTTCATTAGATATCTGTCGAACACACTTATTATAATAAGCGTGAAGGAAACGTAATATTGGGCGATTACGTGGAAAATCGTAAATATTCAATTTTTTTAGGCTTCTATTCATGGCGTGATTTAAACAGAAGAATCAGAATTCACGGATCGATCAGCTAGGGTTTAAAATAATATTTTCTTTTTGGAATTCTGTCGCTGAGGGGGTGTTGCAAGCTGCCTTTCTGAAGGAAAAAAAAAGAGTTCAACTTTTTTGATCGCCGCAGACTGGTCAACGTTCGATAATTTTACCGAGACCAGCTGAGGACGCTGGGGCGTTGATTGTTTAAATTTTAGATTGATTTAATAATTTTAATTTAATCGTATTTAAACATGCCTTCAAAAAAAAATACGGTATCGGTGAGGTCACGTCTTGCAGTTTCCGGTTAACCCCTCATCCATGCATACCTCAGAGAAGTGCACCACAGTAAATAAAATAATTTATTGTTCCTGTACCATTTGATCTACAGCTGAAAGACTTTATAGTACTAAAGTTAGGAAAGCAGCTCCCACAACTTTTTGTTTTCTCTTTCAAACTGCTTTTTTTATAATAAAAATCTAGATAATTTTTTTTCCAGTTTTAAATAATCATATATTCATTTGAGGGTCACCCCTTCAAGGGTTAATTGAAAGTAAAAAAGAGGTACGCAGTTATTCTGCAATAGTCCTGGGCCCTTCAATAAAAATAAATGTCAACAAAATAATTCCTCTGAGTGCATCCTTCTTTTTTTTTTTTTTAAAAAAAAAACACTCTGTAAAAAGATCCCTGCCACTACGGGATAATTTTTTCTTGTTAATTATTACTGAACCAGGAAGCAGAAATAAATCCTCCAGCACAACAGCAGACGCTGATAATTATCATAGCATTTGCAAATTACTTTTCATTTCAGAAAAAAAAACATCCCAACATCTGAAAAATATTTTTCATTTCAAATTTTTAAAAATCGAGCTTAAATCGTCATTGAGGGAAAAAACAAAGAAGTAATTTTTAATTCCTAAACTTACTCAAATACTCTTTGTTTCTGGTTTTTGATAAAATTTGTTTACCAATCTACAGATATGTAAAAGGTAAATGATGACTTTCAAAAATTCCAAATAATATTCTTTAGTTACCTGGAATTTTGGAAAATAAAGAATTAAAAAGACGATACGAATTTAAAAAATAATTCTTTATCTTCAAAAACTCTTTTTTTTTTAAAAAAAAAATTGCAATTCCATTATTTCAAAGTGTATAAGAAAATATAATTGAAAGAACAACATTTTTTTTTTTTGTGTAAAATTTTTATCTGCTTTATGTCTGTAAATTTTGATTCAGACAAATTTGAATTTAGGAAGATAGTGCTGCAGATTGACTCTGATATCAAAATATTTGTTTGTTTATTATATTACTTTCTGTATTTATGAAAGGTGAAGTGTTAGTGACCAAAAATCCATGTGTTCTGCCTGGAGATGTGCGGAAGTTCACTGCTGTTGATAGAGCTGAAGTAACACGAAGACTAGGACATATTGTGGATTGTATTGTATTTCCTCAGAATGGAAGGAGACCTCATCCTACCGAAATGTCTGGTGAGTCTTTTTTTTTTTCTTTTCTTTTGTCGAATACTAATTGAAAGAAGAATTTGACTTATCACATCTTCAAATTGTGCATCTTTGGTGAGAAACATCTCTATTTCCTTGATGTTTGTACAGAAATTTAGTTTCCATCTAGTTGTGCGAAACCTTTGGAGTACCCATCAGGAAACAGTTCTATCGAACGGTTTGATGTCAAAATGTATCCTTTGGAAAAAAGGAGGTCTTCCCTCCCCTCGTCGTTTGCACCTCAACCAATGAAGCGGGTGTGGCAAAAATAAATATTGGAGTTATTAGATTGGAAATAATGTTACAGTAAAACTTGCAGGTTCTTTTTCAAATTTTCATAATGTGAAATAATTTTCACACTAAACCTTTCTTGGCATAAAACAAACTTATTTAAACGCATAATTATACCACAACACAAACATAAAATGAAGTATATAGAAATAATAGTAAATCACATCATCAAAAAAATGCTTCGCTCCTTAAGTTTTGTTCATATCTCGTAGCGACATCTAGTGGTGGCAAACCTTACAGTTACTGAGAAAAAAAATTTCTTCAATATTTTATAATTTCCTGATACACTTGAAGATATTAAAGAATAATAGAAAAGCAAGTATATTCAAATCAAATTTTGCATTGCATTAAAAATTAGAATACTTTAGTTACTTTTGTTCTAATGATCAAATTTTCATGTTCTGGAACTGTATCAAAATGGTTCGAGGGCGTAACCTTAAATATGCTAATTAATATATGCTGATGACATTTTTAATTAACGAAATCAGAAACACAGACGTATTTGAATAAATATTGTTGATGTATTCGGATTCTTGATCTCCAAAACGTGTCGGGAGAAGTTAGCTGTAAGATGGAAAATATGGTCCCAAGGCAAGAGAGAGATAGTTTAGTCCCGTTTAATGTTAATTTCACTTTTTGCGTATTTCTCCATAATTTGCAATAGTTTTACAGCGGAAATTTTTGTAGACAGTTATAAAACTTGTGTATCGGAAGATAATGCATTGTGGAAATTATTATTATTTTATTTAATTACAGCGAAAAAATTTCTTTGTATGATATACAACTTTACACTAATTTAATCTATGCAATTTTAAATGTCAGAATTCGAAATTTGCAGCAAATCGGTGGAGTAGGATTTTGTACAATAAAATTTTTACAATGCAACATCTTTGAGATGTCTATGTTCTCTATTCTAACTAATCCAATAAGAAATGTGTTCGAATTTTAAATTCATTAGGATCTATTAATAAGAGACCGAGAGTTACTCACTATTTGAGTTAGAATTGTAGAAAATTCTAAGTAAGTTTTGGATCTCCTATTTGACTTTTTAAATGGTGTTTAAATATTTTACACTGGATTACGATTAGATACCAGATTTAAGGATATGTCGCCGAGATCTAGGGGGAATATTTTTCCAAATGACTTCTTCCATGGTTAAAAAAACATTTATGAAGTCTTTTTAATTCTGTTTAGCCCTGGCAAAATTACCTGCATTATTCTAAATTATTGGTGCACTTTTATTCCTACGGCAGAAAAATGTTTGGTGCAGCTATAAGAGCTTCTGAGGTTCTGCATGATGGCAAACAAATAATTTTGTATGCTGCCACTATTCATCTGTATTGAGTTCAACGACTCGCCACTACTAGATTGTGTATTGGCGTCAAACATAACTCTTTTTAAGTTTCGTCAAAGGAGGGAAAAACACTCAAGTGGGAAATGTAGTATCTTCATCTATCTCCTTCTCCACCATTTGCATGAGTGCTAACTTTTTGTTTTCAAACATGAATTCTTTATTAATGGTGTTTTCAATATAAATGTAAACAGCAATACTCTTGAGCTCTTGATCTTTTCTTCTTCCGGTTAGAAAGTATACAACTGCTTGCTACAGTTTATTCTGCTAGGCGATATTTTAAAACAGATAGTTTTATGGTTATAATAAAAGAAATAAATTATGTAATTTCTGATCTCAACTTTTCTGTATTTTATAAGGTATTAAGCAATTCTGGAATTCTGTTTGAAGTGAAAATTTGTTTTAGTAATTTAGAGATGTAATGGTGTAAAAGGTGACATGGTTGCTAGATTTAGAAAGAACTCTTTTTTTTTGGCAGATCTAATTTGGCCTCTTTTTACTTCTTTATTACTGTTTGTTCTTGGTGCAAGCCGTGCACTATCATATATTAATGCAAGCGTATTGTTCGAACTGAGAGTTCCTTTAAAAATTATTTCGGTTTAAATTTCGAAGTTGGTATATTGTTGACAAGGTAAGAAGTGTTTTATAACGATTCTTTATTTCAGTGATGATTCTTACGTCTTAAATGACAGGTCTTCAAATGACGATTCTTCTTTTAAACACAAATAATAAATCTGGTAACAAGGACACGTATACAAGAAATGCAAACCCGGATGTATAGGCGGTCAAGAGCTTGCAATGCTCCTTAATGGAGAAAACACCATCCATACCAACTACAGAGTTCCGAACTGCTATTTAATTTTCTTCTAACTGAATCTAATATTTTTAAGGCTATTTCCTTCGAATCATTTAAACACTAGGGATATTTTTTTCAAATGACCACCCACGTGTCTTCGATTTCGTCTCTATAATGGTTTTTTTTTTCTTCAAAAAAATGATTTTTCTCATCACTTTTTCGCAGCGTTATCTTCAGCAACCGATTCGAAGTAACAAAGTTGGAAAGTTAGTTTTTCTAAATCATTTAGGAGTTAAATAAACATTAGGCAAATTCACTGATACGAAATATCCGAAAGAAGAATCTATCAATTAAAACGAATTATTAATTTCGATTTTGTTTACTTTTAAAGTTTTAAAAAAACATAAGCGGTTAACTTCAAACGAATTTTACGCGGTTTGAAAGAGTCTAGATTTTCTAATTCAATGTTACTTGGAACTTGAGAGTTTAAAAATATTCAAAGTAACTGGAGGGGTAATATTTACAACCATTCTTTTCTTTCATTAATCACTGTGGCGTTACTACCACTACGATTATTAAACATCAGTTCACTAACTAGTATATAAAACGTGATAACTCGATTCGTTTTGATAGATGAAGGTTGGCATGGTCGATAACTCCTCTCCAAACAATCACACAGGATTCGCTAACTCGGTGGTCAATAAATTAATCTGGGACGCCAATGTCTCCTGCCAAATTTATCATGAATGAACACTTTCGCTGTGCATAGCAAAACATTATGTTTCCTATTTAAAATGGCGATAATCAACACTTAAATTAGGTGGAGCCCCTTTACTTTACCTTTATTTTGGGAATCTGAATAAACTTAGTTATGGGAATTATTGCTTTCTATTTGGGAAATATAATAATTTTTGAGTTTAATGTCATTTTATCGGTGTAAGAACTAATTGTTCATAGATCCGCATTTTTTATACGTTAATTTACAATGTTTTTGTCGTAAGCCATTAAAGCACGGGGTGCGATTGTGCTTGTTTTTCAGTGGCGCCATCTATAGCTAAGAATTCGCACCCGCTTATATGGCCGACCCATTCATAAGCCATCCATTCATTCATAAATCGCAATTTTGATCGGAACCAGAGAATGATCAATCTCCAATTCCCCCAGAGGTATAATTTGTTATGAGAACATGGACGACTCTGTGACCCGACAGATTTAACGTGCACCAGTCACCATTTACTACACGAGGAGTCTTCGAAAGGCTGGATTCGTACTCCAGTCCTCACGAGCGTGAATCCAGCCAACCAGGCTATCCCAGCCCCTTAACCCCTTAAGGATCGGTTATTTTTCAAGAAAACGGTCATAAAAGTGCCTATTTTTTGGCTTTTGTATTTGTATTGCGCATTTGATTAGTGCTGCAACTAGTTTAAAATAAACTAACTATCTACAATTACCTTGAAAATATCCTGGTACTGCCATCAGGTGTGTAAAATGGGAAATAAACTGTTTTCCGAGCAAAAGAAATGAATTAGTTTTATTCTTATTGGCGCATTACTACTGAACACTCCAACCCGTCAATATCACGGGAGCGAGAAATAGCTGGCAAAATCTCAGCCCGTCATTTTCAAGGGAGCGAGAAGGAAGGGGTTAATTTACATTGAGAAGCTAAATTAAATTTATCAAGATAGTTAAAACAAAGTTTTGTATCGCGTAGAAAACTATGGTATATCTACATGGTATATCCATACTTAAATTAAATGCACTTTTATAAACAATGAGAATTCTTGTATAAAACATCTCTATTTAAGTTTTCTAGGCTGATACTGAAAAAAATACCGATACTAATAAAATTGGAATTCATCGAAATCCGGGACATCTGAGATCTTAAGTGATGATTCCTACTACTTTCTTTATATAACTTTTGCCAAAATATATTTATTAATACAATATCAGATGACTTAGTTTTCTCATACCTTTAGTGCTTTTACAAGAGCACAAATCTTCACCATTTTCTGTTAGAATTTTATCAAAATTTTAAAAAAAAAATATCATGAGCATCAACAATATTTTTTTTCAGATCTTTTTATAAGATTTAAATGTTTTATCAGATATTTGCTTCACACAACGCCTTTAAATAATTAAATTTTTGTATACACGATAAATTATCATTATTCGGAATCAAAGACTGAAATTGTACCCCATTCAAACTTCGTATACCAGGTAGTTTCAATTGTGGAGTTTATTTACACTATGAACAATATCACTATTATTAATAATAGTATCACTATTTTTGTTGGCATTGGAATGCTTCTCTTCTAAGCAGCGCATTCACAACAATCAAATCTACTACCTCTGGCAACTCATTAAATTTTGTTTTTATGTTTTTTGTGATTTACACTATTTCAGAAGATCTGCGGTACCATTTAAGGCTCATCAAAGCTTCCTAATTTTTGCTTTTAAAACTCTTTTTAGCCTATTTAAGACAACTAATTTTTCTATGGCGATGATTTCTCTGGTCGACTTGACCAAAAGACAGAATTTTGAAACTTGTTAGAAAAGATCTTTAAGTTTTAACTAATAACGGCTCATCTTTACTTGATCGTAACAAAAATAAAATTGAAACTTAGTTGGCAAGTGTCAGAAGCGCACCAAGTTAAGCGTTACCATGATCAAAAGCTATTTAGGTGTTCTCCGTTTTTAGAACGCTTATCTGAAACTAACGATTCATTGCAATGTGAATTAATATTCTAAATTTATTTATTAGCTACCTTTGACGGCCAATTCTCCACCTAAACGAATACAACACTTGGCAATTCAGCGTTTTAAAATTTGGTAGATAAGCGCTTAAAATACATTTTAATCTAACAAATAAATTTTTGGTGCGCATAAACTAATTATCGTTCTTTCAGTAGTGAATGTCATTTTAAAAAGCATACTCACGAGCTTAAACGTAAAAAAATGTTTTTACATTTTTAACCATTTACTTATATGTACTATGTTAATTATGATTTCCTAATTTTGTCTATTAATAACATATTAAGAAACTTAATGTTTGATTTATTAACAACTTTACATCATCAGTTTGCTTTTTGGAATAGTATAGAAAGATCAACATCTGGTTTAGAAGTTTCAGGCCCTCCCTGAGCTGTCTTGCCATGATTAATGATACAGAAGTTTTTTTCATCGAATTATAAGTCATTCAATTTTATAAACGTTTTAAAATTAAATTTATGATTTGTATCTGCGGTGTGGATGTTGAATTAATAAGTAATTCAAATTGTGATTATCGCAGGTTCTGATTTAGATGGGGACGAGTATGCTGTTTTGTGGTTTAAAGATTTGATTTTCCATGCCGCCAATCACCGGCCTGGTCATTTTCCAAGTGCTTCCATTCCAGACAAGGCAGTTATTACTGTAAGCGCATTTCAGTTATTAATATTAATTTTAGGAATAAAATTAAAGAAAAGAGAATAAACTAAAAATGTAAATCGACATTCCTTTACCTTTAACAAACTATTTTCCTTAAATCGTGTTTGCAACAGAAACTTGGTCTACAATTATTCATGTGGTCAAAGTTTGAAATAAATGGAGTCAAAACTGTATTGTCGATCATAATCCGTATATTAACGATAATTATGTTATACACTGTATTTATTGTAAAACCCATAATTATCGTTTGCGATAAATATCGTTGAAACTAATGATCATTATGTGATTAATGTTCGTGACTTGGCCCTCAAGAAATTAGTTGTTTGTTACACACCAGGGGTCTGTTTAGAAGAAATTTGGGTCCGTTAACGGACCCTTCACAAAATATCTTTCCATAAAAACGGACCCTTCACAAAATATTTTAACTTAAAAACGGACCCTTCACAAAATATTTTAACTTAAAAACGGACCCTTCAAAAATTTGTTTATTTTCATTATTATTTTGTCAATCGAATAAACCCTTTCCAGGGCAGAAAACAAGAAAGATGGATGTAAACGAATTAAGTTTTGTCTTCGGCAGACGATTCTTCCATTATTCGTCCGAAATGAATATTCTGCGTTCAGCAGTATAGGCTAAATACCAAATATTTGTATGTTGCATCTCTAATTTAGAAGCAGCAATTGTTGTTTATTTTTTAAAATTTAATTTTTTTAATTATAATTTTACAGTGTTGAGCATAATCTTGTATGTCTTTACAATTTAAAAACTCCTTGAAAAAGTTTTTTTTTTTAAATAACGGACCCTATTTGCACAAATTCATAAAAGCGGACCCTGGTTGAAAGAATGTGAGTAATTTTTTCACAATTTCACGAAAAACGGACCTTTCACAAAATGTCTGGACAGACCCCTGCACACATAATAGCTAATTTATAAATTTGAAAATTATAAAAGTTAGAGACCATTGCGAAATTACAGGGTGATGCGCCCTATTCTGAAGTTAAGTAGCAGTGATGATCTTGTTGTTGTTGTTCATTTACGTCGCACTAGAGCTGAACAATGGGCTATTGGCGACGGTCTGGGAAACATCCCTCAGGATGATCCGAAGACAAGCCATCGCAATTTTGATCTTCCGCAGAGGGGATGTCACCCACGTTTCGGTAACCGACGACTTGCACGCGAATTCGAGCACTTTACGGTAGAACAGTTTAACGAGGACCAATACCGTACACCCTCGGTAGTGATGATCTAGGTAAGAGCACTATCTCACGGCATCAATTGCCGAACTCTAAACGCTACCCGCCGATTGGGTGCTTAAATCCAATAATGCATTTTATGAATTTTTGAATATTCTAAAATAAGATGAAAAATTGACAGTAATCTTCAGCAATAAACGAACCACTTGACAGTTTGATCATTCCTGAGCACCATTATTGTCAGCATTTGATTATTGTCAACTTTCACATGAATGCTACGTTGTACTGGGCTGCTAGATGAAAAATGACCCATGCGGCTGGCTCCTCGACGACACAGAAAAAATAAGGGTAATACAGGGTGCGTAGCGTTTTTAAGAAAGTGCTTATTTTCGATTTTCGTTTTTTAAAATCCCTTAAAGGTGCTTTTTTATTGGGTGCTTTAAAAAAGTGCTTAATTTTCTTTTTTTCAAAGTGAGATTTTTCTTTTACCATGTTGATTTTCGTTACGAATTATGCAAAAAGACACAGTTCACATTGTTCTATTCAACGTTTTCACAATTAATTCAAACCCAATCAATCTACTTCGGCGTATTGTCAGTCCGTAGCGTATGAAAACCGTATTTGTTTTTCATTATTCAAAATTTCATGATTTTTGACAATTTCAATAACAATACCAAAAGGTTTTTTTTTCGACATGACGGTTAAAACAAAATAAAACTGTCAATTTGTCAAAAATTTTCCAACCTTGCCTAATTATATGTTTTTAAAGTGCTTAAAATAATTTTTTGAGTGCTTGAAAAGTACTTAAAAGGTACTTAATTTTTTATTAATAATTTGGCTACGCACCCTGTAATAAGCGATTTCATGTTTCCAAAATGGCGTAGACCTGTCAAATGCAAGTATTTTCTGTTCGATTGCTGTATTTTAACTTTCACTGAAGAAAGAAGAACGTTTTTATTTACATTAAAAGAAAGTTCGCTTTGCGGTTTGCTATCAAACCGTTTAACATTTGTAATCGCGCAACTTCTTATTCCGAAACTGAATTACTTATTTCTTCGCTTCTCACGGGGGAGCCCATTTTGGTTTTTTTGTTTTGATTTTGTTTCAGGTCAGTCCGTGTAACTTAGTACATTGATTTCTTGTTACAAGCTTTAAATTAATTTTCTTACTCTTTGACTTAGTTGGGAAACCAAGACAATTTAAACATAAATTATCCAAGAAATAATTATACATAAATTATTCAGTTGGTCAAAAAACATATAATAACAACTTTGTACTATATACAACCTAAAACTTTTATTATGCGGTGGATAGGGACAGCATAAAAAAAAGTCGGACTCAGAAAATACATCAATGATTCATGAAATAGATGTGAGAATGCTTTCAATTAAATTAAATAATTAAATTAGACCTAAAGAAATTGTAAAAATATTTAATTCTTCACTGTACATATACATAGAGAAGTTTTCAAATTATACATTAAATAGTTTGCTGCTACTCGTCGTAATCCAAAACGCGCATCTTCTTGGAATGAATTGGTTGAAAATCTCTTTCGTCGCTTGAAGATAGGATTTCAATTGATTTGTTATTTTGGTACCATAAAGTCAGTGATTAGTTTTTGCGACGACGGTCGACTGATCAATTGCTTGTAAACGTCACGATAGTGAGACATGCATGATCTCAGCTCTTTTTGGAATTTTAAGCGTCTTTCCCCATTGGTATCTATTTTAAGAAAGTGCTTTTCCAATTTTTTCGAAATCTGAATCTCTGCATATATTTTATCTGCTGTAATAGATTCCGGTTCTTCCTGTCCATTTAGTACTTATGATTAAAAAATAAAATAAAAATCATAAAAACTACATATAAATAGAAACGAAAGTAATTAATTTATTTACCTTTAATCTCACTATAAAATGAATCCTTAATCACATGAATCGTGTATAAAACTCTGAATACGAAGCGTCTATAGTATTTGAGATACGAGCAGACGAGAATTTACAAAATAAAAACAACGGTTTAATTCTAAAATACTAAGTATTTTAACACAGCAGGCGATTTTTTACTGATTTACTTCAACTTGTTTAACGTCGAATAAATTTTAAACAGAAGAGAAAATGGAGTGGACGATAATAAATGAACTAATGAAAGTAAATAAACAGAGCATCGTGAAGTTATTCAGATACATCGTTATCAAGGAGACCACGTAATCAGAGTTCGTCCACAACATTAATGCACATTAATAGGAAACATTAAACTGGTGCTAACGCCGCTAAGATTCATATACCGCATAAAAATAAATCGCACAAAAAAAAAATCCCACAAAAATAAAATCCCACAAAACCAATCGCACAAAAATAAAATCGCATAAAAAAGGACCGCACAAAAACAGGTTTTACTGTATTAATATGCATAATTGTAGCAAAAATGTAGTTCAGTCTGTTTGTTTCTATGAATTGCTCACATTCACCTTTTCATTTCTGCCCAACTCTTCAGTTTGTCTCGGTTTTTCGTTACCCACTCGAGAAAGGAATTTTAATTCAGAACAAGTATGCTCAAACGTTCATATTTGTAACTGTTCACTCACGTAATAGTATTTCATTTTTCAATTCTTTGTTGCCGACGCGAAAAAAATTTCAAGTGTTTATAAAATCCACATACGCATTATTTTTTGTTGTTTTTTTTATTTTTATTTATTTTGTATAATTTAGATAGGTGTTTCTACAGAATGATATTTTTTTTGCAGGTGAATGACATGATTGAGTGTTTAATCAACTACATAAAAAATGATCAAGTTGGAACAATTGCGAATGCACACCTTGCTCATGCTGACCGAGATGATATTTTCTCCGAAATTTGCATCGATATAGCTAAGAAGTATTCCTATGCTGTCGATTTTGCCAAGACTGGTGTGAGTAAAAGTTTAGATCAAGAAGAACGTCCAAACGTTTTTCCTGATTTTATGGAGAAGCACCACAAAGAGACGTACAAATCAAAGAAGGCACTTGGAAAAATGTTCCGTGTGGTTAAAGACTTCGAGTCCGAGAATGAATATGCTAGCATTACGTACCGCGATGTACTGGTAAGCATTTGTAGAGCAGTTCTGTTTTTAAAAAAATAGGATTCTCGCTCATTAACTCAATTCTTATACATCATTTATTTTTTATTTTCACAGAAGTCAACATTTTCCACAAAAACAAAAAAACATTTTGTTAATCATATAACGAAATGAGCGATTACGTAGATTTGACAAGTAATCATCAATATTTGAAAAGAAAACTAAGGTGAACAGAAAGATCCAATAAAAATAAGCAAATTTATTATCAAGATAGTTTCAGATTATTGAAAATGTTGATTTATTTATTTCAAATTGTCTCTCTATAGTTTATGCCAGAGTGATATAGGCAAACAATTATATATTAAAAATCATAAATGGCTTTAAGTAAGAATTATATATGATAAATAAAACTCTTATATTTTTGCAAATATGGAGCTCCACCAAAACGAAAATTAATCTTCATTTTTAATATACTTATGAATTGCATGCATATGAATAGCAAATTTTTAAAATGGCCCAGCTCACAGAACACATCCGTCCACCCAGAAATCAAAAACGCAAGTGACATGTATTCGTAAGAATAGTTTCAACCAAGGAAAGCTAAGGAATTAATGTATTGGCTATTAATTGCCTAGCCTCTTTATCTTAGCCTTACGCATTATGTTGGCAGAAAAGAAAACAAGCATGAGAAATAATTATGAATCCAAAACATAAGCAACCATAAAACTGATTTCGAATTCCATGCTAATGTGTTAGGCAGATTAGAGGGAATCTCTAAAAATAGATTTATTCTGAACTAAAGTCAACATTATTGAATTAAAAAATTACAGAATTTTATTTACTGAGATATTAGGAAATATATTTCACATGACAGTAAATTTATTGATATGAACGTCTAATTATTGATATGAACGTCTAGTAACGTCTAATTTCTCTTCTTTATCTTCTTTCAACATTAAACCAAGCGCAGGAATATAAAATAATGATCTCGAGAGAGAGAGAGAGAGACATTAAAATTATCTACAACAGGGGTTTCCAACTGGTGTGATTGAAAACGCGATTCATCAGACCACATGACCTTTTTCCAGTCATCTACAATCAAATCCAAACTGGAGACGTCTGCTCTTGTTCAAGGCTGACAGCAGAAACTTTCGAACAGGTGGTTGGCTCCCACACCCTTATGCCATGTAATGTGCGCGCCCACAGTTCGTTCAGAGACGTTTGCAGTTGCATCTTCATTAAGTTTCGTCGCTATTTGACGTCCTGTTGCCTTTCTGTTGTACTGAACAACTCTGGCAAGTGTCCTTTCAACTCGAGGATTCAGTAGCTTGTGACGACAACAAGTCTGACGTTGAGACCTGCTGAGTTTTCTGCTTGGTAATCCACTTCCTGTACACATTAATAACTACTACTAACATACACTTTAAAAGAACAGCCGTTTTTCTGATACTGGTTCCGACGCTTCGAGCGCCTACAATCATCACGCTTTCAAGCTCAGTTAAGTCACGCCTCTAGCCTATATCTCCGCGCGTAACACAGTGCAATTGATGGTTCACTTGCCTCGCATTCCCTTTTTGTAGCTATCTCGCTCTTTAACTGTTGGTTGGTCATAATAGTTTGGCCACTCAGTGTATGTGTTTTAAAAGTTACAATTTTACAGATAAAAAATAAAAGGTTCAACTGTGCTTCAAATTATATCACTTCTTCCCCATTTTGAAAAACTTGCCTTATTATCACGTGGGCTACAAATCATGGGCATTTAATAGGTAATTGTAAGTAATGCGTTAGTTGTGATTTTTTAAACACATCCCATAATTTTTTTTAACAATTTTGCTTTTCTTTTCAATGAAAATGTGTTTAAACAAAAAGAAATTCTTATGGATTTGGGAATTATTTACCACATTTATAATTTATTTTGTATTCATTGGTAAATAAATCTCAACTAGTGTTGTACTTCCTGTTAATTTATTCATTATTTTGTTGAATAGGTAGACCAAGATTTAATATTTCCCGGATGGGAAATATATAGAGAAGATGCTGTCAAGTCAAGGAACAAGTTCAACACGTTACTCAAAACTGTACTAAGAAACTACGGAATACAACACGAAGCAGAAGTATTTTCTGGTGCCTTCACAAACCTACATTGCCGATTCCAGGAGAGAAAAGACAAAGCAGAAATTGAAAAAATTGTTGTGCGATGCATCAAGAGACTAGCTAAAAGTATGCGAGAGGAATTTTTAGAAGAATTCAAGGAGTACAGTAATATCAACGAAGCTTACCTAGGTATGTTACGCAAAGCTTCAGCTTGGTATGTTGTTACATATCGTGATGGTGATGGAAAAATCCTGAGCTTCCCATGGACGGTATCCGATTACTTGGCAAACATTAAAGTTAAAAAAGTGCCTACTCAAGAGTCATTGTTTTCACCAATTGTTGCGAAAATGGACCAGCAAATTAAATCCGCAGATTCTCAACGATGGTTACCCAATTTCTCGGAATCGAATGAATGGAATCAATATAATTATCTGTGTGGTGATCCCAACATTGTCAAAAGCGCTCTGCGTGTGTTGATATTATGGGCTGAAGACGAAGACATAATTGAAAAACCTGGTGGAAGAGTGGAGGGACTCATGTTCAAGAGTAGTTTTATTAAACTTTTCCTTCATGTTGCTGAAGTTTCGCAATATATAATTAAAAAAGATAAACAATATGACATACCAAAGGGAAAACTTTTTTCCCCCGCTTCCTTATGCATTGAATTTTGGAGATTTTGTGTCAAGTTGCGATTTTATAATAAACGTGAAGTACTTGAAATCATACCCTTCCAAGTGTACAAATATGGTACTCTTTCTAAGCGAGCTGTTGTGACCTATCACAGATTTGCCGTTTTGGGGGAATTCGAAAATTTGTACTTTGAGTCTGGCATGACCCATGAAAAGATGGAAATGAAACCATTAAATATAAACAACAAGGTATTTCTGCGATCTCCGATTGACGAAAATTCACTGAAATTGGCTGCAGAAACTTTGGTGAAGTATTCTTCCGCGGATAACGTGGAATTGAGGGAAATTTTACAGAATAAGAAAGTTCTTGTGAGTGCAAGAGGCACCGAACAATCGTTAAAGACATTAAAAAGTATTCTGAACAAAAAACAAGTTTTTATAGCTCAGTTATTTAAAACTGGTATAATGCCTGAATCCTGAACTTAGACAACATTCATCAGATCACGGATACATACATTACTCTTCAGGATTTTGTGAACGTGTTTATTTTATGCATATCAAAATGTTCAAGTGCAATAATTTCGCTCAACTAAAAGCATGATAATATTTCTTCATATTCACAAATTTTAATACTTGTTCTTTTCTTTTACCATGCCATCCGTTCTTTATTTTGTACGAAATTTTTTTAAACAAAAAACCTATTAAACTTTTCTTTATATCCGTAATCTTGTCTTTTTTTTGTAATATCTACCCAAATTTTAAACAATCAAAATGTGAAATATTTGTAAAAAAGAAAAAAAAAGAGTTTTTTTGCCATATAAATTACGTAGCAAAATGTTTGGGAACCGATAAAATATTACCGAACCATTTTTTGGACACCTCCCTTGAAAACAAAAATAAGCAAATCTCAACTTTCTTTCATGCTTATATAATAAAGTCGTAAAACCCCGTTTTTGCTATAATTTTGGCTTTTACTGTAGTAATCTAATTTTAAGATTCAATTCAAATGAAAGATGTAATCTGACATTAACCCCTTCTCGTCCACAGTCACGCGAGTCAGCCTGAAACGCTATAATTTCCCGGCCGGTGTGCTAGAACCGAAGGAGAAGTCCAGCTCTTAGAATATGTAACTAACACTGGTAATTGCACGGTTCGATATGCTGTATAAGAAAAACAACTTACAGGGTGAGCAACGTACTCAGACTTAACAGAGCATCGTATGACATAATATCCAGCGCATAAGAAACAAAGTGACTGTTAGGAGGTTCGTCACCTGTGAACCGGTTTACCACTCGCACCGCAATTTTATTCTTTCTTTGTCAAAATGTGTTAGCAGTTTTAATCAACTTGAATGATATTAATGTTTTCTCAAAGGAATATATTTATTAACAGTACAATACCCTTTATTAATAGTGTAAATTGTAGAACAAACCAATAATAAATTAAAAAGAGAAAACTTTTCATCTCCCCTACGCAGTACGGTAGAAACCAGGTTCAAGAAGTTCTGTGCAGGGACCATACCAACCCTTGGAGAATTAGTTTACATTATGCTACAAAAGCTAGCCTTCTTCTCCTATGTATATTCTATGCAGGACCGGATTAACCTATAGGCACACTAGGCACGTGCCTAGGGCCTACGAAATTCAGGGGCCTACGAAGAACTTGGGAGAAAAAAATTTATTGACAAAAATAATTTAGCTTTAAAAACAACAAGTGTATTTTGCACAAAATTATGAAGATACAAATAAAAATATAATATTTTTCGGTAATAAATTATTTTGCAGAATCTTATGATCTAATATATTACTTTTTTGCGATTTTTGGATTCAACGAAATCTTGTATTATGCTGTCGAATTCCAAACTACGCAAAATGTCGTATTCAATAGACATAAGTGCGAGCGATGCCAAACGATCTTGATTCATTGTTGAACGCAAATAATTTTTTATCAATTTTAATCTGGAGAAAGATCTTTCTCCTTCTGCATTTGATCCAAGAATCGACAAATATATTCTTAATGCAATGTGAACGTTAGGAAAAGTATTCACAAGTTTATCTTTAATTTGAGCCTTCAACATTTCTTGTGCAGATTTATGTTCATACAAATTTGAAAATAGTAAAAATTCATCTACAAAGTTTTCCTCTAAATCGGATGAGTAAATTTTCACCAAATTTTGCGCTTTTAGTTTAATCTCAGATTCTGACAAATTTTTGTGAACAAGAAAACCGAAATTATCGTACAAATCACTGTAAGCTTTACGCCTTTTAGTCATTTCTGAAATTAATACATCTAAAATGGCGTAATACGTTTCCATACGAAGAAAATTTTAGCATATATTTTGAAAAGAGGGGAGGAGTGGGGGAAGGAGGGGAGGGCCCAAAAACGGCTATGCCTAGGGCCCACGAAAGGTATAATCCGGCTCTGTCTATGCTAGAATGCTATTTCGCTCACCGTCACATATTTGTGACATAGCTTTGGAATGTTTTAAAAACTATAGGCAAATATAGAATTTGAGATAATGTAGATTTGGTCTTTTACTCGAAGTAAGGCATATTACTTATATACATGTAGTAATTGAATTGAATTGAATGCTGGGTTTAGTGGCACAAGGTCCAAAAAAGGACATACTGCCCCAAACACACGGTTTTAAAAACATATTAAAAGGTTAAGTAAAGCACAGGTATAATACACATGTAGTAAAGATAAACATGTATATATTAGAAAACATGTATATACATTATATAAACATGGAGGGAAAAGTATTTCCGAATGACGGCATTTTAAAATAAAGTATTTGTTCATGGTAAGTGATAACTCTAAAGCGTTGTGACTTACAATCCAGTGTTTAATTGATAGTCAGACATTTATGTAACATAGTCGAAAATGTTTTAACTGATCTCAAAATAGCTGAAATGAGGCAAACAGATATTGATTCTGACAGGAGTGATAGTTATACTCTGATCATAAAGTATCTTTGTTAAAAAGAAACTGCTACTTAGAAGGCGTTTAGACTCACTACCGCAAAATGGTTAATGAGCTCAAGGATGTGTAGATAGATCCCTGTCACCAAATTTCTCATTTAAAAAGAAAATATAGATTCAGTTGTTTGTATGATGTTAGAAGTCATTAAATGGTAAGCAAATACCGAAAAAGAAATTGTGTATTTAAGCTAGAAAAAAAAACTTTAGTAAATAAAGTAATTGCAAAATATTTACAGTATACGTCGTTTATTTGTTATCCAGAAATTTGTAAAATACGTAGTCCAAAAATTATTTTAAACATTCTATTTCATATGAATTTTTTTTCCTCACTTGTATGTCCTATTGTGAAAGAAACTTTCGAATACTAAATGGGTATAAAATCTAACTTCTTGCAGATGTCACCGGGTTTTTGTAATGCGCCTATTAAAAACTTCTAATCAGAATGAGATGTAATTGTATAAGAAGCTATGTAATCATATAAGACAAAACAAAAATTAATTAACTTATATATATACAATGAAGATAGAAAGAAAAGTGAGAAAAATTAAGAAAAATAATAAGTTTCATTTTCTGCGCATAAGCTGCATGCATATATATCTCATATATATTAGGAGGACCGGAAAGTAATATCGTTTCGGCTCATTAAATATTCGCTACTCTTAAAAACCAATTCATTTTTTACGATTCATTTTCGATCTGGCGTTAAAAGGTGGCTAACGAATACATTATTGATTTAAAAAAAATCTTGATATCAAATGCACCGAAACGACATTACTTTCCGGTCCACCTAATATGTATGTCGTTATCTAATAAGTTTATATATATATGTGTGTGTGTCTGCTTATTATTTAATAATAGCCACTTAGTGTTTAACAGTGCGAAACATTTATAATATATTTGACTTTCGAGTCACTACGCAATGTTACAGGCGGGGTGCGTAGCTTTTTTAAAAAGTGCTTATGCTTTAAGGTTACTTATCGTTTTTAAAAGCCCTTAAAGGTTTTTTTATTGGATATTTTTAAAACGTGCTTAATTTTCCCTTTTCCAAAACGAGATATTTTTTCTTAACCTTGTCGATTTTTTCCACGAATTATGCACGAATAAGCGTAATTTTCATAACGTTTTCATAAATCATTCAACCACAATCCATTTCGACGTACCGTTGTCGATCCGTAGCGGAAACCGAAACTAGCATAAAACAGTTGATACAAAGTTACAGTTAAAATAGCTGATGCCACACCAGCTTATCCCACGGAAAACCTTGCGAAGCAGTTATTGCTAACATGAAGATTGCTAGTACAGTTGTATATATTTCAAATCCAAATAATCGTTCATTTTGTTGCGATTAACAAAATATTCCTACACAAAACTATAATTTTTATATAAAAAAAATTATTAAAAAGAAAAACTCATAAAAATAATTTTNACAAGGGTCACCAATTGAGGGGGAGGAACCCTCTCATATTAAGTTGAAGACAACTATGACAACAATAAACTTAAACATTTATTTAACAACTGAACATAACAAGCTAAAAACAGAAACATAAAAATTAAGTAAGACTGTGTGGGATAGAGACTGAGTAAAGTTCGAAGCTTCTTAAATACTGGGGCAGTTCCAAGGTTGCCGATCGTGTGTTTGTAATCCCGTTGATTCTTTTGGCGCCTACGCACCATGCCTGGCGCCACAAGTTTTGACTTCGTTGTGATGTTCAGTTATTAATTAATAATAATTAATTAATAATTACTATCATTGTTCTTTACTACTAAATAAAAATTTTAAACTTAAAACAGCGAATATCTGGCATTAAGGCAAAATAATTTAATTTAAAGAGAGTGAGCATAATATTTCACAAGAAAAAACTTGGTGAAAGGAGCAGAGAATAAAACAGAAAACGCAAACCGAAACTTTAAGTGACGTCATGTGCAAAAAGGATGCGCAACCAGCTAGTTGTAGCCTTGGCCAGCAGAATAAGTAAGTAATCCGTTGTAACACGTCATTCTATATTTATCGTCTGCTCATAAACTTATTCATTGAAAGAATGAAAGGGAATTTTTCTTCATGTCCGTTTTCTAGGAGAATTAAATAATCTGAGCTTTATTTTTAACTTGGAATGCGATATCAATGTTTTTGGATTTAAAAAGGAACTGATATCAAGATATCTTTCAGATATATTTCCTTTTGATTAGAAAAATAAAGTTGTTCAGTTTCGTTCCTTGGCAGAAACCTTGACTATACGCAATTGGTTCAGAAGAAATGCTAAGGTATTAAATTTTATAAATACTTTTCATTTCTATTCATTTTAAATTATTTTATTTTTATATATGTTCGATTGTTATCTATTATTTTTTTTTTATCATTGATTAATATTTTAACAGAACACTTAGTGCAAAATATTTCTCGAACTAACTGTAACTTTGTCCTATTCTTCTTGTTCGAAAAAAATTTTAATTTTCTGTACATTTTCAAATGTTTTATGCACCGAATCAATTAATTGAAATCATCATAAAATAATTAAAAAAAATTGCAGTCATCTAGTGATGAATAAGAATCATGTGCGTCACTGGGGTCAAATTTTTAAAGGAATAGAAATTAAATTACGCAGTCAGAATAGCTCTTTAAATTTCTCACAAAAGAAAAAAATTCTTAAATACTCTATCTGCAAAAATATTAATTTTTTTTATATATATGTAATATCAGGGCAACAACCCCGATATTTTCGTGAATTATTTGTCAAAATAACAGGAATAATGAGGCCATGTTGTGCACAAGCATTTATTTAGTAAACGATGGTGAAGCAGAAATCTCATCCCCGCTCTCGCAGCTGGAGAGGGGGAGACACAGTTCCAGTCAAATCTGACGGAGTTTAGTTGGTATGTATGAATCACCAAAAAGCACGCAAAAACCATCGCTCCTCCGTTTTATACGATAATTAAAATGTGTGAAGAGGCCAGTCATTTTGCATTCCCTGTATTCTTACGCCTCATCAAAATTATTTATTACTCATAAAAAATCGTTTAATCCTTCCTTATATGGAAGTGAAAGATCTTAAAAAAACTCCTCTTTTGAAATATAAGTCTAATTATTATTCATTGGTATGTTTTCAACCTTGAAGTCCCAAAATAGAATTTCTACACTTATCTTTTACCAAAGATATTTTATGAAAACGAAGGAGTTTTAATATGCTTTTATTAATACAAAAGTATTTATAATGTTTGTATTACATATATTTTTCTTATTTTATTAACTTGACTGTTGCAAATTTCTAACTATTGAGGGGGATATATGCCCCCATATTTTTCTTATTTGATTAACTTGACTGTTGCAAATTTCTAATTATTGAGGGGGACATATGCCCCCAACGTTGCTCTTGGTTAAAAATACCATTTCTAATTTAAATTATAAATGTCTTAAAATCATTTTTAAAATTTAGATTTTAAAAATTATACATAAACGGTGTGTTATTAATTAATGACAGTATGAAAGAATGCTGTTCTGTTCTTTGAAATAGCTCACGCAGAGATCGAAACATACATTCAGTGCTTAAAATAAAAAACGGACTATCTTGAATAACTTTTGATCGGAACTCGATCTCAGCGGTTCGAGGGGGGGGGGGTGACCTCAAATATGCTCATTAATTAATGCAGACGATATTTTAAGTTACGAAATCAGGTACAAAGAAGCCCTTTCTCTGAATAAACATAAATTTTTCCGATTTATTTGGATTCTTGATGATCAAATTAAAGGGGATAGCCGCAACCTGAGAAATATGGCCCCAATAGTCTGGTCAGGAAAGCGGTTCAAAGTTTATGTCCCTTAATACTAATTTTATTTTTTGCGTATTTCCCCATATCTCCAGAACTTTTTAAGCGAATTAAAAAAAATTGCACTGAATCAAAAAATTTGTTTATCCGAAGATAATTAAAGTATAACTTTTATTTAATTGTTATTTAATAATAGTCAAAACTATTTTTAACCATTTTAAAGAAGGTAATTTATTTGGCAAAATTCAAAATTTGAGCGAAATTTTATTTAAAAAAACATATTTTTAAAATTGGATTTCACAGGAACTATTTGACTGATTTTGCTCAAATTTTGTATTTTATTATGCAAAATTACATTCTTAAAAATAATGTAAAAAATTGGATTCCTTAGCTTAAAAATTTTCGACAATTATAAAATAAAATATTAAAAAATATATGATACCTACTAAAAGTTATTTTTTGCATGGAATTAGGATTTGCATGCAAACGAATTTTATAAATGTGTGGAAAGTTTTAAAAGCAAAAAGTGAAAATAACTTTAAGGGGTCCAAACTTTAGACTACTTTCCTGACCCTCTATATTTTGGGGGTCAGAAATCCGAATTTGTTTAAAAAAGGATATGTTTATTAAGATAAAGTGTGATTTTTCTATTTATTTCGTAACTTAAAACGTCGTCACCACTAATTATCAGCATATTTGAGGTCACTTCCTCGAACTGTTGAGATTGAGTTCTAGAACGATCATAACTATATATCGAATCTAGAACGATTATTCGATCAAAAGTTATTCAGGATAGTCCGTTTTTTTAATATGCGCATTGTCCAAAGACGTATAATGTGAAAACAAAGGAATACTTTGATTCAGCCTTAATCTAATGCGAAGTAGCCACTTAGCAGAAAAATTTTAAAACTGGGAGAAATTGATTGAAGAAACAAAATGATTTAACTAATTTCTACTGACCGAAAAATTTGTAAATTAAATATCTATGTTATAAACCAGTGTTCCCCAACCCCCGGTCCGTGGATCAAATGGTACCGGGCCGCCCATTTCATTGAAACTGATTTAAATTCCTAGGTTTATACCTCAAATTAAAAATATTTGTGTTCCATTAAAATTTTATTTATTTTAAAAAAATGTGGCCCCCAAAGGTAGTGACATAAATTTAATGTTTTAAAAAGTAAACAAAAAAAAAAAAACAGAAAAAAGGAAAAGAAAGCCACCGCAACTATTTTCTCTTTCAATTAGATTTAATAAAAAAATCAATCATCATAACTGTAAATATCATAAATAAAACACGAAAGCGCGTCGCGAAATTTACATTGGAACTAATGAAGAACTCCGTCTTCCCTCTCGATCGTGACTCATTAATTTAACTTTCTAGTAAGTTAAAATGTTAAATCACTTTGTTCAACAGCGTTGAGTTTTTGGCGTAACTGTATTTTATTTTGAAGGCATGTTTAAATACAATTAAATAAAAATTAATAAATCAAAATAATCTAAATTATAAACAATCAACGTCCGTCCGTCCCAGCGGGCCTAGGTAAAATTATCAAACGTTGACAGGTCCGCGGTAATAAAAAGGTTGGGGAACACTGTTATAAACCACCAACTGAGAGTTGAAGCCAATGAAATTTACGAAAAATTGTCACCGCTTTTTAAATTTTTCCTAACTGTTAATGACCGCGTTTTAGGACTCAATCTTTGTGCTTAGAAACTGCTTCATCTAAAATATACTAATTAAGTTGTGCAGACAATATGAAAGCAGACACAAAAAATTAATTTTTGAATAAAACATTTTTTTCTCCACCGGATATCAATTTTTGACATATAAAATATGTGGGTACTCTTGCTATTTGGGATTCCAATTGTTTGGTCAGGAGAGCGATTTGAAGTTGGGACCCCTTCAATGTTCATTTCACTTTTTGCGTATATCTCGAAAACTTTAAAGGATAATTTTATTTTATTTTATAACCGTCGTTGAACAGCCGACCCAATTTCATGGGTTTACGACTACTTACGTTCAACTCCGTAGCCTTGTAATTTTGAACCAATCCAGAAGACAAGGAAACTCCTGGATCAGTACCCCCAGAGGTATTGATTTGTTGTGGGAGACATTGAGACTCGACAGATTTAACGTGCATCAGTCACCATTTACTACACGAGGAGTCTTCAGCCGGCGAGGATCGAACCCACGACCTCTTGGATATGGGCCCAGTGCCCTACCGACCAGGCTATCAAGGTCATCTACTAAAGAAATAATTTTTAATAATTATTTATCGCATTTTATTATTTATTTTTTTAATAATAGTCGAAAAATATTTTGAATCACAAGGTGTATTTTGTGTGTGTATGTTATTGTGTGTGCATGTGTTGTGTGTGTATGTATTGTAAAATTAATGTTTCGGTTATAATTTATCGCCTTAAACATTTTTTGGGACATATTTATATTTCAGTTTATTTCATTTCTGAATTAAAATTGTAAATTTCACTTTTACTATATTTGCGCTTAAAACATCTAAGTTGCATATTGCGCTATACATCAATGATCAGAGCAATTCTGAAAAAAGCTTAAATTCTGCCAAAACATATTATTAAAACTACTAAGTTTCCAAACGTTTATAACTGCTTATTTTAAGATTAGCGAGTAAACTAATTTATGCAGAATTTTGTATACATTTAATGTTATTTAAAAGATAAGTTACATTTATGACAAATATTTTTTTCTAAATAGTTTAAAACATATTGTTAACATATTATATATTTTTAAATTTCATATCATTATTACAGGAATATTTTAATAATATCGATAAGAAAAATTTTAAATATAATTTTTTCCCTTCATCTACATAAACTATTTTATTATATATTCATATATCACAGTACTTATTTTCGCCTCTTATAAATATTTAATATACATTTAAGAAATTATATTCTTTAATTTTAAAATTTACGTTTGTTTAAAATATAAATTTCTTTTCTATTTTCATTTATAAAAAAAAAAGTCGGTTAAATTACAATGGAGAACAAATTTTTTTTATATGATTTTTAATGGATCTTGGATATTTCTGATTTCAAGTATGCAATCGATTTCTCCTTCCAACCTTAAGCTTTTTTTTATTTTCATGTGACATTTTTAGCCTATTCTTTATAGAAAAGTGCAAGTTTAAAATCGTTATATATAGCACAGAGTCGCATAAATGTTGCTATAAACTTCTAGGAAAGAGCAAATCATCAGGATTAAACCCATGCTCGGAAACGTCATAGTACGCGGCTAGGGTCGCTTCCCCATGATCTCTTCAGAAACACACGAAAGATCAGTTAACATATTTTATAACTTTCGAATCGTAACATCAACAATATTTTTTTCATTAGAATACAGTGATTTTCATTAGCAGGGGTCTGTCCAGACATTTTGTGAAAGGTCCGTTTTTCGTGAAATTGTGAAAAAATTATTCACATTCTTTCAACCAGGGTCCGTTTTTATGAATTTGTGCAAATAGGGTCCGTTATTGCAAAAAAAAACTTTTTCAAGGAGTTTTTAAATTGTAAAGACATACAAGATTATGCTCAACACTGTAAAATTATAATTAAAAAAATTAAATTTTAAAAAATAAACAACAATTGCTGCTTCTAAATTAGAGATGCAACATACAAATATTTGGTATTTAGCCTATACTGCTGAACGCAGAATATTAATTTCGGACGAATAATGGAAGAATCGTCTGCCGAAGACAAAACTTAATTCGTTTACATCCATCTTTCTTGTTTTCTGCCCTGGAAAGGGTTTATTCGATTAACAAAATAATAATGAAGATAAACAAATTTGTGAAGGGTCCGATTAAAAGATAAATTATTTTGTGAAGGGTCCGTTTTTAAGTTAAAATATTTTGTGAAAGGTTCGTTTTTATGAAAAGATATTTTGTGAAGGGTCCGTTAACGGACTCAAATTTCTTCTAAACAGACCCCTGATTAGATATTGTAATTCATATAGAATATATCTCTCAGTTAAAAATATAAAATGGAGTTAGAGCAGTATTTTTATCACAAGAACCAGCCTTAGATGAAGACAAAACAAGAAGCAGCTTTCAAAATCGTTTTTTTCTTACTGCAAGATCGCGATGATCACGTTCCGATAAAAAAGTAGTACGTGTTCTTAAGAAATTTCGAAATTTGTTCACCAATCATGATCATATTTTCATTTTGATTGCGTTAGCAGATAGATGTATTTTTCTGCTACTCTACATTAATGACAATATATATACATTTATATATATTTTCAGCTATGTCAGAAATGGAAGTCATTCATTTTAGGACTACCCTAGTGCCAACGGAGAAATACCGTACAGAAGATAATATAAATGAGAAATTCAAGGCATATCTTGATCAACTGATCATTCATTTTGAAAAATGTGGTCTGATGGACGTCTCTCTCAATTTTCTGAAAGTGAAGAGAGCTGAAGAGGAAGAAGATCACCCTGAAATAGAAGATCTCTGTATTCAAGTTACGGCAAAATGTTCACCAAGAAACGAGGAATGGCTGCAATACTTCCGGCAGTTGCGCAGTAGATGGAAGAACTTATTCTATCCAAACCCCACGCCAATATTGACGTTTTATGAAAACAAAGCCTTCTCAAAAGCTCGTAACCACTCCCATATTGGTTTAAAGTGTGAGACACTTAGTTTTGGAGTTTTGCCGCTTGATGGTACCTTTCATCAATACTCCTCACTGGAGATTATCGACTCTTGCCACGTGAATTTCTATCACGACAGCCGATCTGTCATTATAAAATACGTTGCTTCCCCAGAAAATATCCACGAATTAGTTTTCTCTTACAGTAATATCAAAAATGTGTTTGTCAATATAGATTGTCATGAAATTTTCTTTGACTTGTGCAATCCGCCCATTATTTTCAAAGTACAAGAAAGCTTGTTAAGAAATAATAACATAAGACGTAGATGTGCTACAACAAATGGTAACTCACTTAAAGTCGAAATATTGGGTGGAGCGAATGTTTTGAAATTGTGTTTAACGAAAGCGTCTGTGATTGAAGAAGTTGTGAGCAGAATTCATTTTCGATATGGGGAAAAACCTATACATTACGCCTACATCATTACATTGCAGAAAGCAGAACCCATCATCCCTCACGTCAACTGGGGTCATTTTGGTAGCACATACATGATGACCGCCATTCTTAGAAGAAATTTCACAATCTGTGCCCAAACATCCAGCGTGGAGAACTCTTTAATCGCTTTAGGTGAACTTTCCTCTGTAAATAGTGATTGTCTGGAAAAAGCCTTAACACTAGTCTTCTCAGCACTGGAGTCGGGGAAAATCATTAACTATTGGCATGCAATCGAGCGGCAGTATTATTATCATCTCAACCATAAAGATGAAATTAACTACATGCATTATGTTGTGCCGGAAAAAAGCCGAATGATCCGTCGCATAACTTTGACACCCACGCGTCAATTATTATGGCCACCTGAAATTATGTTCGGCAACAGGGTTCTTAGAAACTTTGATTCGGAGTATGCGATTAGGGTATCATTTAGAGATGATAATAACTTAAAATTAAGTTTCAACGCTGCGTATGCAAATAGGAATATTTTAGATTATTCCATCCGTAAGCCATTGTCTACAGGAATACGCATCGGATCACGCAACTACGAGTTCCTGGCTTGGTCTAATTCGCAGATTCGTGATCATGGCATATGGACGTACGCTAGAGATACTAAAGGTAATACAGCTCAACATATCCGATCGTGGATGGGAGATTTCTCTCACATTCACTCAGTTCCCAAGTATATGGCAAGAATGGGGCAATGTTTTTCTCAAACAGAAGATGCTGTTACTGTACCATTAGAAGATCCCCGTCACATTCGAACAGAACTGGATATTGAAAGAGGACGTGATTCAGCTAATAATGACAAGCCTTATTGTTTTTCTGATGGCATTGGACGTATTTCAACGGACTTAGCAACTAAGGTAAGAGTACAATATAGTATTTTATGTTTTGTTAAATTATTTGAGTTAAATTTATTTAATTAATTAGATCAGAAACTTTGACAATTTTTTGTCAGAAAAAAATAAAATGGTGTAAAAATTTCACGGAGCAATTAACATTGTAATGGTTTTAAGATTTGCAAACGTTTTGTTTTACGTGTATTTTATTTTTTGTAGATTATCCCCACAATCTGTATTCTTTATAATCTAATATATATAATTCTCTTACGTGGCTCCCAAATTTTGGCTGTATTTCTTTTCTGCCGGTGGCAACGTTTGCTTTGTTTTGCTTACGTTACTATTTCTCTTAAACGGCGACAAAAAAAAGCCTCATTACAACTCCCCGAATGGCAACGCTAGAAAATCGACCAATGATTGCCGCTAAAAATGTCAAATGCCAAATCTAGCAGAGGTGACTCAACATATAGCGCTTTTAAAAACGGAAACGGAAATAACCAGAGAGCATCAGCTGCGGCAATCTCATACTATTAAGCTAGGCAAGTCTTTGTCGATAGATCTCTACTTTAGTATTTTGTCGAAAGTGCTTTTTTTCACGAATTTATATATTACGAATTTATTCGACGATTTTTTATTTACATCACGAATTATACTATAACACATTTTTAATAGGTTTAACGAATTACATGTCATTTATTTGAATTCAAATTTATTTTAATGACTTAGTATTTACTAAAAAGGCTTAGAATGACTTGGAATTTACTAAAAAAAATTTTTTTTTAAAAAAAAGTTTTTATATGGATTTGAATGATTGTTTTGAATTCTTAGAATTTTGTGCATTTTCAATGTACCTAAGTAAGTAGCGAGCGAAGCGAATTTGGTTTGCGAAGCAAACCATATAAGATTGCGTAGCAATTTTCGGGGGTTGGCGAGCGTTAGCGAGCAGGGTGCGCACCCCACTAGTAATATAAATTACTTAAAAAATGATATATAGATTGTGTGTCGGCAGAAATAATTTAGAAATTTTATTCTTTAACATGACTAATAACAGTTCAAATAGAGAACGTTTTTTGACCTCTTTTTTTTAAATTTCTGTAAAAATGTTAAGATTAGGTAACATATAGTTATTTTTTTACATCACCGCGAGTGATTTCGGGAGAGAAAAATAAATTTTCTATTTAAAATGTTCAGTATTTAAAACAGAAAAGTAATAAAAAATCAGTTAAAATTATACTAATCTTTCAGAGCACGTCAAATTTTAATTTTTTACTTATAATATGGTCTATAGAGCGGGGCCTCATTTTTTTCTACACTCTATAATTCTGGAACTAATTATGGAATGTTAATTTTTCCAATTTCGTTGTTATTACATCTATGTACAATTTTTATACACACGCACACATATATACTTGATGAAAGTATGTTTTAAATTAGTTTCTTTTTCTGTCCCTCTATTTGATCTATTTTGCTTTGGCTATATTAATTTGATATTAGAAAGCACTATTTTTGCGGATATTGTCGTGTGAGCTGATGACAAGATAATATATTTTCGTTGGTAACATTTCTAATTTTTAATTACTTTTTTAATAATTTTTTTCTTGCTTTCTTAGTGTATTTGTCTTTATATATACGTATATGCATTTACCTGCCTTTTCCTAGGTGCGCAACGTTCTAGGTCATGATAAACTCTGCAGTGCATTCCAGATAAGATACGGTGGCTATAAAGGCATGCTGGTCGTAGATCCTACCTTAAAAGATGCGGACATAGTGTTTAGAGACAGCATGAAAAAATTTGATTCTCCTCAAAATCAAAGACTGGAGATCGCTAAAACAAGTGCACCAAGTAATTTTATTTATTCATTTTTTTCATCACTTGCTATATATAGCATATTATATTGCATAATATTGTTATATTACATATTATCTATAAATAAAATAACCTAATTAACACTTTAGTTTTGAAGCTAGTATTCGCCAATGTCTGAAAAGGCGCTAATATTTTAATATCCATGTAAGACTAAACATAATACAACTATTTTTATATACTCACAATTTTGAATACTCCTTTTTTTTACTGGACGTCAGTTCGATTGTACATACTCTTATTTATTTATTTTTTACTGTAGGTCAGTTCAAAAATCGACATTTTACATGCATTAAAATAATTTTTTTATTGGAGCAAAATACCACTTTCGTTTCTCAAATTTTGGAACCTTTTTTTTTTACAAATAATGTGAATTAATATGAATTTTTTTTTTTAAATTTTTAATCTGGAAAGTGAAATTTTTAGTTAACCAAGACAAGAAGGCTCGTAAGCATTGAGTCATGAAGAAAAAATATATTTTTCGCAAATTTTTTTTTAAGGTCAAACAGTAAATCAAGATTCATAACTAATTTTAATTAATTTTAAACATCTTCAATAAAGTATTTAAATTACTAATTTATTTTAACCTTACTTTAAAAAAAATCATTTAAACTAGTTAAGTTGCCAAATTAAATATAATTTTACTTCATTAAGTATTATGTCAGGTCTACCAACCAAACATCTTTTGATTCTTGAAGTACAACTTGAATAAATTTTGATTTAATGATTCACGCACTATGAAGCGGTTCCCGGATTTTATCCTAAACATTCTAATTCCCTAGGGCACACGATATTTTGAATTACGAAATCAGACACCCTTCTTTCTCCGATTAAATGAAAATTATTATTATTATTATTTAACGCATATGGATTTTTAGTGCACAAAATATAGAGATCAACTAAAGTCTCTATATTTTGAAACTTTAAGAACTTCGATACAAAGGAAAACTTTAAATTTCGATATCAAAAGTTGGTTCTTCATTCTGCTTTTGTATATTTTGCCAAAACATTAAGGGTTAGGAACATTTCAAAATCATATTTTTAAATTTTTAATTTTCTTCTTCTTAATAACTGTATATATATATATATATATATAAATGAGAACAATATGTAAACAATGCTTTTAAATGACCACAGGAAATCATTAAACTGACAATGCATTATGTCAGATTTTAAGTGCGTAGGTAAAATGATCTGCAATACTTCATAAAGGTAGCAAAATTTAATGCATATGCAGCATAAATTGGTGACCTNTTTAACGATATATATATATATATATATATATATAAATGAACGGGTGTTCAGCTTGTTTAAAATAACAAAGAATTTTAATTATTATAATGTTTTTGAGTGTTCCAAAATTAACGTTTCAGTCTCAGGATGTTAAATATTTTTAGGTAGACTTCAGCTCAACAGACCATTTATAGCTATACTGAATGATCTCGGGGTGCGTTACAGGACATTCCTGCAATTGCAAGAAAATATGCTTCGAAATTTGACGGACATGCTTTTTGAGGAAGAGAAAGCTGCCGAATTTTTGAATTCCAAAACACCTTCAGACATCTTTAAGTACAAAGAAATATCTAAATCTGGAATTTTCATCACAACGGAACCTTTCTTTAGGTCGCTTCTACTCGCTATCCATCGTCATCATGTTGGTAAGAGCATCATCCTTATTTTCTTTTAGTAAATTGCTGTTGTAGTAGTTGTAATTGTCTTTCAGTCGAAATTACGACCTGTTTTTCCGAATCACCTGCTTGACGGCAATGTCTTTTTCAATCATCCGTTGAGCTCTAAAAGAACAAATATTCGCCAATCAGTACTACGACCTCTTTCCTACTCCCTACATGGCTCCTATTAAGCTGTCGGCGAGATAACAACATATAGTTTCTATCGTTTCCTCACTGCTTCAACCAGAATTTTCAGAGTGTCCAGAAAAAATCGCCTCAACAAGGAACTGTATTTAGAAAACCACTCTGCATAAATCAATCATTCTGCACACGCCGTATTTTTTTGCTGATTTTGCCAAATTGTCGAGTTATTGTGGCGCTTTTTTCTGGTCCATATTGTATATATATATCCCCACCATATTGTCGCTAGACCAATTTTCGATGACTTTACGATTAACTAGAGAATTACAGATAACAAATTAGTGGGTTCGACGCATTATGCACCCAAAAGCAAAACAACGTACTGCCAGTCGAGAATGAAATCAATAGGAAATAAGATTAATTGTTTCACATTGCTATAGGTTGAGTAAGTCATGTCATTTCTTCAATTCTCTCGTTTTAGAAATAGTTTTATTCTTTTTACCATAGCAATAAATAGATAGCCTCAAACTTTCGGTCGGAAGGTGGGGAGAGATCTCGTAATAGCCAAAGAAAATATATAGAGAGAGCTAATAACCATATAGTACTCTATGAATTGGAGAATAAGAAAATGTAACCAACAACATGAAGAAAAAAATAAGTGGATGCCAGAATGAAAATCGGAATATACCAGATGCTAGAAACAATATATTGCTTGATTTTGTCTATGTTCATAAATTTTTATGCATTGGGAATTTTTGAAAATATTTAAATGCATGTGATATAACCTAAAAGTTTATTATTCCCTTTTTTTCATAAATAAGTAAGCCATAAATTTTGGAAATCAAATTAAATATCAATTAAGAAAATTAAACTCATTTATGCAAAAAGGTATAGTTCCAGCAATAAAACCATTTGCTCTTTGTTACTCAGTGCTATCAGTTTATTAGATTAAATGTTTCTCTAAGTTTATTGGATTAAATGTTTCTCTTTATAGAGAATATCAAAACGAGAGCAAATATTGCGATTGATCCCAGCCTTGGACGAAATATGTTTGGAGTACTGGATGAAACAGGGTTGCTTCAAGAAGGAGAAGTATTCGTTAAATATACAAAAGATATTTTAAAAGGCGAAACAACAAACGATACCGCCATACTGAACGGTAAGTTTAACACTCTTCACTTTTATGCAGACAAACAAAACTTATAGCGATATTATTATACAAGCAAAACTTATAGCAAAGAACGATTTATCATCTATCATGATCAACTAGCTACAATGCTATTGCTGTCGCTTATCCTTTCTGTTTGACGGAGTCAGACAAGATCCACGAGTTCGTTGACTGAAAGGAAGTCGAAGACTAGGAGAGGATTGCTAAAGAGATTCTCCTTAGAGAGTCCCATGCAATCCAAGAGGTGCTCAGGAGAAGCCTGATGAATTTGGCACTTGGTGCAGGTGACGAAGGTTTTCCTGCCCTCGTTGAAAGTGAGGCACTTGATGTGTCCACTAGAAAGCCTTGATAGAACAGTCCGGGTAGCGTCTTTACACATTGTCGACTCCCGAGCACCTCCACTCGCCGCGGTTTTATTTGTCAACTGTTTCACCGCCTTATCTAGTAACCCTCACTCAGAGGCAACCCTACACTCGCCGCAATACAGCACTCGCAAAAGTCATAAACGAATCTTCGCGCTCATGGATATTTTTAAAAGTTGCTTGTTGAATTAAGTTAAAATTTTATCCTCGTTTAAGACTAGAAAAATTCAAATAACGAGATCAAAATACTTCGTCCTTCTATAAAGAAAAAGTTACATACACACAATTATTTCAGTTAATTACATACATATTTCGGTTAAAAAAATTTTCAAATAGAAACTATTCTTGTAAATTAAATAAAAATCTGGAGTAATAAAATATTTATATCTTCAGAATAATCAATTTCTTTTGAATATCTTAATTAATAAACAAAGTTTAAAAAAATAATCCCCTATATAAATCATCACATTATTAAGTGTACATATTTTTGAAGATAAAAGTATTAAAAAAAATTTACGCAGTTTGAAAAATAATTATTTTTATTTCCTTCATTTTTACCAGGTTTTTTCAATTGTTTCTATTTTGGAAAAAATATGTATTCTTCAAAATGCTTACAATATCTTAAAAAAATTGCATATATTTTATACTGAACAACTTTTGATTGACAATATTTTCTTCATAAGAGAGTCCTTAAAAAAATTTGAAAATATTTTCATTAAATTTGTTCAAATATTTTCTGTAAAATGCGTGCTATTATGAAAACAAGGAGAAAAAATATTTTTAGTAAAGCCATGACATAAAGAAACAAATCTATGACATATTCACTACTATTTTCGTATAGTTAATTTATTTTTTATAACATCAAATCATATTTATTAAAACTTAAAGTTGTGGCTGCTCAACTTTTTTTAATGTTTCTTAAATTTGTCAGGGAAAATTCCGATATTTTCCATTTTTCTTGCTTCTATCACTATTATTTGTATATATCTGAAATTACTCACCTTCGTTTTAATTGTTTCCTAATTAATTTTATCATATATTTTGCTATATATATTTATCCTTTCATTCTATGCTTCATTAATTTCATAACTTATCCATCTTGTAACTTTTTATTCATAATTTTATAACAACTTTAGCTTATTAGATTCTATAACTCAACAATTGGTCTATATATTTTATAATTTTTTTATTCAATTTTTGGGCTTCTAAATAAGATATGGAAAAAATACTATGAAAATTATTACATTTATTGTCAATCTAAAATTAGGCCTTTTTTTCCTCCTAAGTGCGAAAACACATTTACTAACTTAATGTAACGTAATTTAACACGATTCATCTATTTTAATAAGAACGATTCAGAGAAAAGCAGGATCAGTAAAAGTGAAATGTGTATTTTAATTTATATTCTGCTTCAAAAATGAGACAAAAGAGACACAGAAAACTTTTCTGTTATTATTTAATAGTATTCATTAGTCTTTAAAATTCCAAAAGAATTTTTAAGTTGCTGGAATCATATAATAGTCTCATTTGTAACAACTTGTTTTTTAATTTTTTTTCACACAATAGCTTTTATTGTATGTAATTTGCTTTAAAAGTTCAAACATTTATTCTTAGATTGTCATGCAGTCTGTGTGTCTGAAAACTGTATGACCTATTTTATTTTATTTGTTCCTTGCAGAATGGTAATAATTGTTTCTTATTTGGTAATAAAAATCTTACTTTTGCTGAGATCGCAAGAGTTTTGTTTTATTATCATAACATCGATTAATTTTTTTGAGAAAAGTGTAAGTCCTCAGCCTTTCAACCATATTGCTTTAAAACTACTTTCTTTATTTAAAGTAAATTATTAAATTTAAAAATTGTTAAGATTCTCTTATTTGACTCAATATCTTGTCTTTAATGAATCAGAAATAAATAAACAGATTGTCCTTATATGATATGAGTTATGATATGAGAATGTCAAAGTTGATGCTTACTGTTTACATTATATTTTTATTTTACAAATCATAAAAAGTTTTCTTTAATCAAAATTGTGTTCACCTCATAAATATACTTTAACTGCTACAAATTTTTAAGTCCTGGCTACCAAAGCTGTGGAGTTGGCTAATACGTATGAAGGAATTTATCGTTTGGGACATAACATTTACAAAAAAGTGTCAAATCTAAGTACAATTGTTTGGACGCAAATATTGTTGGCACTGCAAATGGGAATCATTACATCAAATTTAATCATAGATATCAATGTCAGAAAAGTAAAAAAGAATAAATTCATGTATAAAGCTGACAGCAACAATCTCCTCATCATTACACGTATATAAAAAGAAAATGCTTAAAACTCATAAATTGTGTAGTTACTTAAATTAAAGGTTCTAAAAACTAAACAATAAGGTACAAAACCCTGCTGCATTATAGAATATTGTGTCCACATACTTGGTAAAGACACCATAAATTATTTGCAATAATTTTATAAAAATAATTAAAAAGCTATACCCTACTCATATATCCTACACCCACAACAAAACTTTATCCTAAAAAGGAAATAAAAAAGTAAGAAATAAATATGTGTTTCAGGAAGTCCGAATAAAAAGAGAATGATAATACACAAAATTTTTTAAAGCAGCTAAATTTATTCACACCTCATGTTCACTCATGCGTTTTTTAAATCGTATGTCGCAAGTGAAACATGCGCGAATTAATATTTGAAGATTTTCGCGAGAAAATTTGAAACCAGACTTGGCGAAAGTAACATTGACGAATTTCAAAATACGGTGCCAAAGAAGTGCCCGGGAGTCGATAATGTGTAAAGTCGCGTCCGGGTACGTCTGTCACACGGGAGGTCAAGGGACAAACCCGGTTTTTATCCCTTGTACCAATTATGGGTTGGGGGTGTTTTCCACTCCTCCGAGATTTTTGATTTTTCCAGAGAGTATAACTCCAAAAAAGTAAGTGTGGAAGAGGGAGTTGTTGTAATCCTGAAACCCTCCTTAGCAAGAATATCGGCCATTTCATTCCCATGGAGATACCCATTGCAAATGAACATCATGATTAAGTGAAATGAGCTTTAATTTAAGCAGGATAGAGGAGCTACAGTGCTAAATTCTCAATTGAAATTTTGTGCCCGATGACAAATTACTTTTTTCAATTGCTTCCCAAATGTGTAATTATGCAACACTTTTTGACATAAACAATAAAATTAAAAAGGAAGAAAATAGTAAAATAATTGAGAAAAAATAAAGTTTCAGAAGCGTCAAAAAAGATAAAAACAATTCATTTCCATCAGACCTAAAATTGAAAGAAAAAATTAAAAATCGATGCAAACATTATCACAACTTAAAATTCGCCACTTCCCACAACATTTGATAGTGATGCTTGAAGAGAGGCTGGATTCGCAAAATGTTCAAGTATGTTTACCACAAAATTATATTGATGCTTTTAATTTATAAAATAAAAAAATTGTATCACAAACATAAAAATAATGTTGACTGGGAGCTACCTTTCTATAAAAATTTCACAAGCAACCTTTTTCAACAAAAGATCATCATCAAAAGTACAAGTACATCAAAGTTGCAATCTGACTGGAACTTTCTTTATAACGGACATTTACGTCTGTTGATCGTAAAGACACGGTTCCCAGTAGAACATCGAAGTCAAGCATCACTGGCTGTTGTCAGTAAGCGGGTGGGTGACCACTTTGATTAGCCTGCATAGAGACAAATTGTGCGCGGTATTGGTCCTCGTTAAACTGTTCTATTGTAAAAAAGCTCGACTTTCGGGCTTCCACAGTAGGGGAGCCATTCCCCCCCAACAGAGGATCAAAATTGCGATGGTCTTTGGATGGATCATCCTCGAGGATGTTTCCCAGATCGTCGTTCGTCAATAGCTTAATGTGCAGCTCTAGTGCGACGTAAATAAAGTACCTGTCTATCTCAATGCAGAAAACCGGTAGATAACAAGATAAAGGAATTAGCCTATAGCTTACATAGGGAGATAAACTTAGGGATTCAATGGGAGTTAAAAGTAAACGTGCTTAAGTGAGTAATGGGTAAAACAAAAGATGTGCGGTGAACAAACGTCACAAAGTTCTCTTAATGTTTGCGTAGAATAGTTTTCATAGCAGTTTAGTCCAAATCCTTTACTGTATCTTAGTTTAAATTTCTAAGTAGAATTTTTAGCCGTGAGAGATACATTTTAATTTTGTTATGAAGAAAAGATATTTATCCCAGAAAAATATATAAAATCGTTTAGGAAAAATTTATTTATTATATAAATCTCATTATAATCATCTCAATAAATCTCAGTCCCGCAGTGGACTGATCGTTAAGACACGGTTCCCATCAGATCACCGAAGTCAAGCATCACTGGCTGCGGTCAGTGTGCGGGTGGGAGATCCACTTGGATCAGTCTGCGTAGGGACCGAGGGTGTGCGGTGTTGGTCCTCGTTAAACTGTGCTACCGTAAAGTGCTCGACTTCGCGTGCAGGTCGTTGGGCTACCGAAGCGGGGGTGCCATCCCCTCTGCAGAGGATCAAAATTGTGATGGCATGTCTTCGGATCATCCTCAGGGATGTTTCCCAGACCGTCGCCAATAGCCCATTGTGCAGTTCTAGTGCGACATAAATGAACAACAACAACAACAATAAATCTCATCCACATTCCGAAATTATAAAATAAAGAAAGTCCCTCAAAGAGATCAAGAGATTCTTGTTCTCTCTTCAAGAAAAACCGTTAATTAGCTCTTGGGCTGAGGGCCTATGCCCCCGGTCCTAACGTCAAGAATTCCAGATTAAAAATGAATTGTTCCCAACGAACAATTAGGAGTATGGGAAGAGAACCATGGTCGGCTATTTATCGAAAGATAAAATAGCCGAAAACAAATCTCTCCCCCTTAATCAATATTAAATTTGAAAATAATTAGGCTAAAGCTAATTGCCAAGAAGACAGTGAGAATTAGTATAACCGTGTAACTGAAACATTTTTGTAGTAGTAAGAAATAAAGAGTTAGTTGTGAATAGATTTTGTTTTCGATTTAGTCGCGACAGTGCTTTACATTTGTATTGAAATAAAAAGTTAGCCCTTACATTGATTGTTAACAAAAGAATAAAATATTTATAAAATTTTTTTTCTGTAAAATACAATAAAATAATTAGTTTAATTTAATTAAAATTCGATTAAAAACGATTAAAAAATTAAATTTATGCAGTTAAAGAAATTTTAAAATGCAAGGAAATATTTTGTGGTAACTTAAGAGTATTAACTAGTAGAAGTGATTTTAAATTAAAACTTATTGTATACAGGTCCAGTGATGATAACTAAAAATCCTTGTGTTTTACCGGGTGATGTGCGTAAGTTTACAGCTGTCGATGCACCTGAAGTTGTAGAAAGACTGGGCCACATAGTAGATTGCGTTGTGTTTCCACAGAACGGCAGAAGACCTCATCCTAATGAAATGGCAGGTTAGTTTACCTCTTCAACCTGTACTAACGAAACCTTGATAAATTGTGCTCGTTCATCAAGAAAAAAAAATGTTTATTTCTTATAAAAAAGGAGAGTAACTTGACTGTCGGTCTATCTTGTATGATCTGAAACATGTAAAATTTGAGGTATGCTATTGAAAACCCTTTTAAAGCTCTTTAGGAATATTTTTATGCAACTAATTTATATATTATAATTTCACTGAATTGGTGAAATAACATTAAAACCTGACGTTGATTTAAAGATTCTCGAAACCCATTTCCGAATTGGCTCTATGAAAATTAAAGTCTTTATAGTTTAACTTCATACAGTATTATGCTTATGACTCATTAGAATTTCATTAAATTGCTTGAAAAATAAATTTTAAACTTAAGCCACTATCATTTGATAATGTAAAAAATTTTATTAAGGGCTTTTGTAAAGAATAGGTTTGGGTGTACAGTGCGCAGAAAAAAAAACGGACTCGAACTTAATGTGGCTTCAAATATACGAATTATTAAGTGCAGACGATATTTTAAGTTACGTAATCATGCACAAAACGTACTTTCTCAGAATAAACGTACCTTTTTTTCCAACAGATTCGGATTTCTGACCCGCAAAATATAGGGAGTAGCCGCAATCTGGGATATATGGTTCCAATAGTATGGAACCCTTAATGTTAATTTTACTTTTTGCGTATTTCGCTATATCGAGAACTTTTTAAGCGAATTGAAAATTTTTTACACCCAATAATAAACATCGTTTATCCAAAGATAATTAATTCAATGCAAAAAATAACTTCTAATAAATATTTATTATTTTTTGTTATTTTATTTAATAATGGTCTAAAAAATTTGAATTGTAAGGTATTCATTCAGTTTTTTGCACCCTTTTAAAGAATGTAACTTTACCGGGAAAAATACAAAATTTGAGCGAAATCGGTCAAATAGTTCCTGAGAAATGTAATTTTAAGTGACTGACTTTTTGGAAATTCAATTTCTTTGGAGTCCAAACTTTGGAGCGTGCTCCTAACCAAACTATGGGGACCAGATTGCGGCTACCCCTTATATTTTGGGGGTCATAATCCGAAAGGTATGTTAATTCAGAGAAAGTACATTTTGTGTCTGATTTCGTAACTTAAAATATCGTCTGCACTTAATAATTAGCATATTTGAGGTCACCCCCTCGAACCATTAAGTTTGAATCCTAAAACGTGAAAGTCCGATCATTAAAATCAAAAGTTATTCAGGATGGTCCTTTTTTTCGTTGGTGCACTGTACATACATATGATGGAATAAATTTTAAAAGTATTTAAATTTTTATAGTATGTGTGAAAGTTCAGTGTTGAGATTCTTGCAAACGTGGTATTTGATTACTTATTGATTGAGTTTACAATGCTAACAATGCTTGTATTTACAATGCTAAAGGTGCTAACACTAACGTAAGAGGGTGCACAGCTTGCAACAAAAACAAACAGTAATAAACAAATGGAAAGAGACCAAATCAGGACTACCAAAAAAGCGAGTTATTCAAAATCTAGCAACCACGTCACCTTTTTTTAACAATATATCTATAAATAACTAAATCAAATTTTCACTTCAAACTCACTAGAATTACTTAATAACATTAATATCTTATGAAATACGGCAGATTTCAGCTCAGAAATTATCTAATTTACTTCTTTCCGTACGAAAATATCGCCTCGCAGAATAAGCTGTAGTAAGCAGTTGCAAACTTTCTAACAGAAACTAGAGTAGTAGGTATGGAGTTTGAGATTGTTATTGTTTACATTTATATTAAAAACACCATCCACACTGCCCCTCTTTTCTTGGCATTGATTCTATGATATGTTGGTAGGTGGTAGGAGGAATCTGACAACCTATCTCATGAACTGAACTTTTCAGTTCCGTCAGATTGGATTGCTCAGCTGCCTCATGCCCCGTTCGATCTCATCCCACAAATTCTCAGTTGGTTTGAGATCTTGTGATTGTGCGGGTCAGCAGTGTCAAGCAAGATAATGTCATCGTTATGTTCTTCGAACCATCTGACGACAATACGAGCTATATTGAAAGGAGCATTGTCTTGCTGTAAGTATCCATCCCCGACAGAGTACACCATTAACATAACAGGATGTATTTGATCTGCGATAACGCTTAAGTACCCTTGGGCATTCAGACGTTGTTCCACAGAAATAAAAACACCCATGCCATGCCAATAAAACATCCACCAAATCATAACATTGCCTCCACCAGCTTGAAGTGTTATGGGAATGCAGTTGGGGATTATGCTTTCCTGCTGTTTTTGCCATATCCGAATCAATTGCACCATCTGCAAGGTGTATTTGAAAACGCGATTCATGAGACCAGATGACCCTTTTCCAGTCATCTACTGTCCAATCTTTATGTTCTTTTGCAAACTGAAGACTTCTGGTCTTGTTCAAAGCTGACAGCAGAAGCTTTTGAATAGGTCGTTGGCTCCCATAAGCAATACGGTGTAATTTGCGGCGCACTGATTGTTCAGAGACGTTAAAATTCCTCGCTATTTGACTTACTGTTGCACTAAATAACTCTAGCAAGTCTCCTTTCAGCTCAAGCATTCAGTAAGTAGTCTGTGACGACCACAAGACCGACGGTTTGACCCGGTTTTCTGCTAGGTAATCCATTCTCTGTAGACATTATTAACTACTGCTCTCGAACACTTCACAAGTGCAGCCGTTTTGCTGATACTGGTTCCGACGCTTCAAAATCCTACTATCATCCCGTATTCGAAATCAAGTTTTTTACCCTTATTTCCGCGGGTAACCCAGTGCAATCGATATTTCTCTTGTCTTGCATTCTCTCTTTGTAGTTGTCTCGTCTTCTAGCGGCAACAATGTGACGCAACAGCTCATTTTGCATAAAACTGTCATCATGAGGTCATAATAATTTCGTCACTCAGTGTATAATGAAATAAAAATTATGTTTATATCTTCGGGAATGACGGGATAATTATAAAGAAAAGAATGCGAGTTTCGCATCTTCGCACAATTTGTAACCCTCTATTTTTGATTAATGTTGTACACATTTTCACTGAATCGCACGTAATTCAGATTGTAATTTTTGCAGGATCTGATTTAGATGGTGACGAGTATACTGTTTTGTGGTTTAAAGATTTGATTTTTCATGCCGCCAATCACCCGCCTGGTGATTTTCCAAGAGATTCGTTACCAGACAAAGATGAAATTACTGTAAGTACTTTTCAGTCTGCATAGAGTGACTCACGGAGGGAGAGAATTTGACACATTTTGTTATGAAAAACACCTGGCAGCAACGTTCCCACCTATTTTCGATATTTTGGAAATACCTGGAAATTTTTTAAAAGATTAAAGTGTTTGAAAACTCCTATTCCCTTGTCATTTGATGCGAATATTTCTGAAAAATTGATTCGATAGCTAAACGAACTCAATTGGACAGCCAGGACGAAGTGCTTCTTTGAGGTCAAAACTTCCCTCATAAGGTACGGTGGTTGTAGCTTTTTTACGGCTCCCAGGAAGTGATAAAAGCCAAAAAAATGCTTGATAAATTGGGGTAAATTTTGACTGTCTAATCAGTTTGCCACGCATAATAGCATCATGCTATATGATTCTAAATATAGTTAATCTTTATTTTGAAAATGTGTTTATTTTTATCTAATAAAGTGTTAGTCACCGGAAAGGGTAACAAATAATAATAAATAAAAATGAATTTGGAATTATTTCAGATTTATTGATTGTGATGGTATATATCTTTCGCGGTTTTGTTAATGATTTCGTAATTGTTGATTCATATCCATTCCTTGCTACTATACTATTTTTCTTATCCCGTCCAAAGAACGTATAATCAATTAAGTTAAGGCCGGGATTACGGGATTAAAGCCGGGGGCCGGGATTAAGTTACGGCCGAAGACTCCCCGTGTAGTAAATGGTGACTGATGCACGTTAAATCTGTCGAGTCTCAAAGTCCTCCATGTTCCCATAACAAATCAATACCTCTGGGGGTACTGATCCTGGAGTTTCCTTGTCTTTTGGATTGGTTCAAAAATACAAGGATACGGAGTTGAACATTAGTAGTCGTAAACACATGAAATTGGGTCGGCTGTTCAACGACGGTTATAAAATAAAATAAAATCAACTAAGTTGAAATAAATTGCTTTTAACATTGCACAAAAAAGTAAAATAGAAATTCATAATTTGAAATTTAATGAGGATTTGGCCCTCTCCATGTAACTCAAATACTGGTTAGTTCCATCAAAACAAAATCCTCTACGAAGTCAAATACTGGATCCAGGAGTTCCCTTGTCTTCTGGATCAGGCTCAGAATTGCTTTCAACATTGTCCGAATGAAAGTTGCAGAACGCATAAGAATGCGAGTAATAGAGCCAATTAAAGTAAGCTTGTGAAAATTTTAGTGTTTTTTTTTTTTTCAATCTGCAGTACTGTACTCATTATTTATGTACTTTTTTTGGCCTATATTGATTTGAAAAAACTTTATTCCGAGTGTTTTTTAACCGATACAGCATTAAGATATAGAGCTATAATCGACCAAACGAGATCCGTCCCTATTGGTTAGACATTTATCTAAAAATGTGCAAATTTCATTTAGTTTCACATTATGAGTGAAAGAAACGTGAGAATTTTCCTGAAACAGATATGACCAAAGTAAAAAAAAAAATTTGAATGTAGAAAGATTTATTTAATAATTACTGGATAAAGACCTAGCATTTTGTTGAATTTTCAGGTTAAGGACATGATTGAGTGTTTGATAAATTACATAGAAAATGATCAAGTTGGCCAAATTGCAAGTGCTCATCTTGCTCATGCTGACCAGGATGACATATTCTCCCCTGTATGTATCACACTAGCCAACAAGTTTGCATGTGCTGTTGATTTTGCAAAGACTGGTGTGAGTGAGTCATTAGAAGGAAGAGAGCGTCCAAAAAAATTCCCAGATTTTATGGCGAGGAACGATAAAGAGACGTACAGATCAACAAAAGCACTGGGGCGAATGTTTCGTGTGATTAAAGACTTTGAGTCTGAGAATGAATACGCTAGCATTACATATCGTGATGTACAGGTAAGCATATTTCTTACTCTAATCTAAATTTTCATATTTTATCGCATACGCGCATATATATCTATATTATGCAGTTTAAAATATAGAGAAAACAAGGAAAAAGATATAAAGATTTATTAAAGAGGAAGAAAAAATGTTTTTTTAAAAAAATATTCGCAAATGAAAAAAAAATGGAAAATATAATCAGGAAAAGATGTAATCTCGTCATCAGCTCGCACGATTCCATCCGAAAAAATAGTGCTTTCTAATATTGTATTAATATAGCCAAAGCAAAATATATATACAATAGTGTGAGAAGCATTTCCTCTCCATATAGCGCAAATACGAGTTAATTCTATCAAAAAGTGAATGAAGGCAGATTTCTCTCAATACTTGTTCCAGGTGTTCCCTTGTTTTCTGGATTGGGTTCAAACCTACAAGGCTATGGAGTAGAACATTAATAGTCGTAAACTCAAAATTAACTCAGCTGATGATTGACGGTTATAAAATATGTAAGTATTGAGCAGTGGTGGCTCAAGAGATAGACAGCTCGTCTCCCAATTAGGTGACCTGGGTTCAAATACCTATTGATGGCCAGTTAATAGGGATTCCGCACCCGGCTCCCACCAACCACAGTGCTGACGAAAGATCCGAGATTCGAGAGATTTTCGGTTTTTTCCTCTCCATGTAACACAAATGAGCGTTAGTTCCATCAAAAAGTCCTCCAGGGTTTACCGGGCAATGTCACTTCACCTTAAAAAAACCATTGCCCGGTATACATTTGCCAACTGTTATGAACTGTGTCGAAGTAACGTAAAACGGATGATCTGGCAGATGAGTAAACCGCAGAACCATAATCTAGTTTCGAGCGGATGATACTTCTGTATAGTTTGATCATCGAATTTGTGTTTGCTCCCGATGAACAATTTGATAAAACTTTTTAACAGGTTTAACTTTGTCACATATGTCTTTCTTAAGTGCTGGATATGAGGTTTAAATGTCAGTTTTGAGTCTAAAATCAATCCTAAAAATTTGACTTCATTTGTAACTGGAATAAGCAAATTGTTCAAAAATATTTCAGGATCAGGATGGATACCTTTTTTCCTACAAAAGTGAACGCAAGACGTCTTAGTCGGCGAAATAATAAAACCATTTAAATCTGCCCATTTTAAAACCTTATTTATAGCATGTTGAAGTTGGCCCTCTATAGTGCGCATATGCGAAGCTCTACTCGTGATACGAAAATCATCCACAAATAATCTGCCGTCAACTGTTGGTGGTAAGCAAGATTTCATTAATTTTAATAAGGAACAGTGTAACACTTATGATGCTGCCCTGTTGAACTCCTTCTTCCTGCTCGAAAATATCAGAAATGACCTGAAAAGTTCGGTCTGTTAGAAAATTTTGAATAAAATAAAACATATTACCGGTTATATTGTACACGATGAGATCTTTCAAAATACCGTTCTTCCAAGTGCGATCATAAGCCTTTTCCATGTAAAAAAAGACAGCTACTAAATGTTGTCGTTTTAAAAAAGGCTTCTCGTATTTCTGTTTCAAGTATGGGTATATCATCTATTGTTGAGTGACATTTTCTAACACCACTTTGTCCGCAAGATAAAATGTTACAAGATTCGAGTACATGTATTTATCTATTATTTATAATTCGTTCCAGTAGTTTGCACAGACAACGGGTTAGAGCAATAGGTCGATAATTAGTTGGGTTTTTTGTGTCTTTGCTGGGTTTGGGAATAGGTGTGACATATGATCTTCGCCATGCTGTAGGAAACACTTTTTTGTCCAGATGTAGTTGAATAGCTGCAATATAGAATCGTCAATTGGTAATAGAGATGGTTTCAGAGAATAATTTTTTTCCTGCTTGGGACCTGTAGTTTTTAAAAGCTTGAGAGTAGTTATTTCGACTTGAAGCATTCGAAAAATTTTGACAAGAGTATTTGTTATTTCTTTTAAATCTGTTATTTTGCTGCCATTTATTTCTAAATGTGGGATAGATAAATTAGAGTAATGTCCGGATATTGCTTTGATTATTTTCCATATTTCTTTTGAAGGAGTATTATTATTGATTTTACTGACATAAGTTACTCAGGATTTTCTTTGGCTTTGACGACCGGTTCTACGGGCTAAAGAGCGAGCTTTTTTTAATTTAATTAAGTTTTCAACTGTAGGGAATTTACGGAAATTCCTCCAAGCCTTTTTTTGCGCTTTTGGAATTAGCAGGCATTTATGATTCCACCAGGGCTTTGGTTGCTTAGGTAATTCCGGAGATGTATAAGGTATAGATTTTTCAGCTGCTGAGATAATTGCATTAGTTACGTATTGTGTTGCATGATCAATATTAGTATTACTTATGAGTTCTGAATTTAATGCAATAGATGACTGAAATACATACCAATTTGCATCAGATATACGTCATTTTGGAATTCGCTGTATATTGTATGAGTTTGATTGAGAAATGTTTATTATTTGAAGAAAATGATCACTTTGGTAAAGGTCATCTTCCATTGAAAGCTTTAAAAATGGGAAAATATGAGAGCAGATAGCGAGGTCTATAGAGTGGTAAGTTCTGGAGGGAAAGTGAAAATGGGTTATTTCATTTGTATTGAGTAAGCAAAGTTGAAAATCGTCTATCAATTTTTCTATTTGAAGACCACGAGGATTAGAAAAATTACTTCCCCAAAGTGTGTTGTGGCCATTTAAATCACCAATTATTACGTATGGAGTCGGTAGTTGATTGACAAGATCTTCTATGTCGAGCTGTGGAATTGATTTATTTGGAGGTCAGTATAAACAGCAAACAGTAATTAGAGATTTAACTATTATTTGGGCAGCAATAGTTTGTAATGTTGTAGGTACTTAATGGAATAACAGAAAATGGATATTTGGATTTGAGAAGTGAAACTCCTCCACATGCTTTATTTCCGTGTATAAAATCATTTCTAATGTGAGCATAAAACTTTATAGCTGCTTTATGAGAAGTTTTCAAAAAAGTTGCTTGCAAAGCAAAGCATATAGGAGTATGGCTGTCAATAATAGTTTTGATATCTGGCAAATTGCTATAAAACCCACGACAATTCCAAGATAAAATTTTATTAATCATTATTTAGCAATTTTAGATTTTGCTTTCTTAGGACTTAGGTTTGGCGGCGTTACCATCCCCTTTTCAATTATCGTTCTAGAAATATTATGCTCATCTGCACAATTCTCGTCAGTGCTCATCGCATCCGATTCTGCACATTGTTCCTGTCTGTTAGAAAGTTTTTTACCATTTTTATTAAATCGGTTTTGTCTGCTTCTTGATACGTATTTTGGTTTACTAACTAATGGAGAATGTGTTAACTTTTTATGCAAAACGCTTACCAATTGTGGAGTTAATTTCAAATATTGACTATTTTCAGCATTATTTTGGGGTTGTGTTTATTGAGTCGGAGTAGACTGTACTGAGTTTTGTGCTTGTTGTGATCGATGGGATATTGAGTTCGATAGTTTCTGTTGCTTTGCCGGAATAGATTTTAGATTGGAAGCTTTCTTAGGTGATATGGTATTAAGGGTTTGAGTATCTTTTACATCACATTGAATGCTTATAGATTTTGTCGTTTTTGGGTTTGATACTATTGCCGCATAGGAAACGTTAGGACGAGGTCGCGAGCTTAAAAATTTCTCTTTTGCTTCATAATATGAAAGGTTCTGCATTACTTTAATATTAAGAATTTGTTTCTCTTTTGCTTCCATTTTGAACAACGACGAGAACTGGCAGAGTGAGGTTCATTGGAGTTTATGCATTTTTCTGGAGAAGAACACGATTGGTATGTGTGCCCAGTTTGGCCACAACGAGAGCATGTTTCCTTACCCCACTGGGAATGGTGACATTGAAGACAATTTCTTTTCAGTAGAACTTAGTATAAGAAATTTCGCTTTAGAAAGGTCGTAATTTGGGCATTTTGCCAGGATAAAACTAGGTGAAGGGGTTGATGTTCCGCTTTTGTTTCGGTGAGCAGAACTAAACACCTGTTCATTTTCAGCTATAGAAAATTAGACAAACTTCGACTATCAGCGGCATCACCCACCACGGAGTCCAACTTGGGGATGTAAGTAACAAATATGAATATGTCTCCTAAACACCGGTTCTAACCAACAGCTATACGCCCGAAAGTCACCCCTGAAGCAGCCTCCACCCTTAACGAGGTGCTCAGTAAGTGACCCCGGGCTTGACCCTAGCCAACAGATGCCGTTTGCAACTAGCCGATTGATGCACACAGGCCAATGTGCACCTCCTGTTTACCTGAAGCAGGGGCCAAATCAGTGTGTTGGGGTACCAGGATCCCCTTTTCCAAGGACACAGGTCTCCACGCACGGCAAACACGCCGGTGATTTCTTCCCGTACTTGTCAAGGTTCGATGTAGCACCGAGCCAAGACGAAATACCCTTACCAGTAAATGTGGCAACCACGACAAGAGTGAACATAGATAACAAATAAAGTGTAACAAATTTATTATATATATATATATATATATATACA